GCATCCCAGTTTCTTTGAAAGAAACGAGCTGGGAAACCATCTGGCCCAGGGGCTTTGATCGGTCCAATTTGAAATAAAGCATCTGCAATTTCCTGCTCAGTGAAATCTTTGCAAAGATCCACATTCATCTCCGGGGAAACCTTTTCCTGGAACAAACGGGATACTCTTGACTGATCAATACAGGGGTCAGCTGTAAACATATCCTTGAAGTAATCTGTCGCTATTTTCTCCATTTCATGAGTCGACTTCACTACGGTACCATCAGGCCCACGCAATTTAGATATTCTATTCTTCTTTGCTCTCCATTTTGCCTTGTTATGGAAAAATCTGGTATTTCTATCACCTTCTTTCAACCAACTTATTCTAGATCTTTGCAGCCAAAGCATCTCTTCTCTATAAAGTAATTCATTCAAGACATCAGAGGATCGCCTGATCTCACTATAGTCAGCATTGTGGCTAACAAGGGTTGCCAAATCCTTCCTGGCCTTTTCTATAGCACGGCTAACGTTCTTAAATTTTACCTTGCTCCACCCCTGAAGTGCTCCCATTACCTTTCCGAGGGCAAAATTAATGTCCCCTAAGGTTCTTTTTTCTCCTGCTTCAGCCCAGGCCAAAGAAATCACCTCAGTGGAGGCCGGCTCACGCTCCCAGCAAATCTCATAGTGGAGACACTTCTTTCGGTTAGACTGTCTACTGTCCGCAGCAAACTTCAGGAGAATTGGACAGTGATCAGAACAGGACGAGGTTAGATGCACAACCTGGGAATTACTATAGATGTCTCTCCAACTATTATCAGCTAGTGCTCTATCTAGACGCACCTTGACATTTGATCTACCTTCTCTTCGGTTATCATAAGTATAGGGGACCCCTGAGAAGCCCAAGTCAACCAGCTCACATATTTGTAACACATCTCGGAAAGCTCTCATCTGAGCCTCACCTCTTTTAGAAACAGAAAAATGTTCAAATTGCCAAAGAGTCTCATTGAAATCTCCAATAATCATCCAAGGGAGGGGGGAGGACTGTTTGAGATCCAGGAGCCGAGACCATAAACGATGTCTATTCTCCACTCTCGGTTCTCCGTACACAAAGGTTACATGACATAGAGGATCTTCCGGAGACAAACGCATATACGCATCAACATATCTTTCATTCACACTCTTAACATCCATAAAGATAGACTCATGCCAAAGAGAGCAAGACCACCACTCAAACCATCACTATTACATCCAACAAAACCTTTTAAACCTAATCTAGAACGAAGTCTGCGGATTCTTTCAATCTTCTGTCTCGTTTCACTGAGGAAAACCACCTGGGAATTTGCCTCTTTCACCAAGGCAATGAGATCACGAACTGTCGTGGCATTCCCAATACCACGACAATTCCATGCCAAGCAATTCATTGCTCCTGACGAGACCCTATCATAGGTCCCGTCAGTTTACCAGCGGCCCCATGGCTGGTTGCCTCCGAATTAGACACCTCCGAACCTCCTTCCGTCTTCCTGGAACGCTTCAGCGCTCTTGTGTCCTTGCCGGCTTCTCTACTATCCGCCGCATCCTTCACCGTTGCACTCTGGTATATTACCAGCGCTTGCTGGACCCGCCCCGGCTTGTTAATTTCTGTCGTGTCTTGCATTCTCTTCCTATTCCCGCCACTCCAATCATCTGACGACCCATCCCCAAAGGAGGCTTGTTGCTGAAGATTTGCAATAGCAGGAATCATCTCTTTTGAGGGTATGGCCTCCCCTGCTGATCCAGCCAGGGCCACAACATTAGACCCACTCTTTAACTTCGGACCTTGACTATCATCATGCTCTTTGTCTATCCCTTCTGTCCCTGCCATATTCATCAGATTGGCTTGCAGAACCAATTGCTCATCTACTGAACTATCCCCCTCCTTCTCCTTGTCATCAAAATTATCATGAGCATCCACTCTGGGTGGAATGGCTTCATCCCATTGTTCCACATCTCTCTGCTTTGAAGACGATGAGCCAGCACTTCCAGCTCCACGGAAGAACAGATTGCGAGCTGCTCCAGTGTTCTGCATTGCTCTGACCTTGTTAACTTTTCGCTCAAACGGTTTTAAGGGTGAGCATCTCAAATCAGCTGAAAAGCGAAAGGGATTCTCCACATTTGCACCTCTCTTATCGCAGTCCTTATCAGCATGCCCCATGAAGCCACATATGAAACAGAAGTGTGGCACTCTTTCATATCGAAGTGCAAAACTTCTTGTTTCCACTCTACCTTGTGCAGAGATTTTGATGGTTAACTTATCCTTTAGTGGTCGCTTGACTGAGAGATCAACACGAATACGGAAGAAGTCATGTTTATTGCGGCCATCGTCCCCAACATCCACCTCCTGTACTCTGCCCAGTTTGCTACCATATATCTCACCCCTTGCTTTTGTCATTAGCACCAGTGGAAGATCATAAATCCGCACCCATACTGGAATCACATCCAGAGTAACCTTTGACGGACAGGTGATGCCATCAAACTCTGCCACCAACAGGGCATCCCCCCTATGAATCCATGGACCACCTTGGATAACAAACCTATAATCCCCCTCAGCACCAAAAGATATGATAAACAAATTATCCCTCAGCGATTTGTAAGTCATGTCTGATCGCAGCCGCCAAGCACGACGCATGTCTTCAAAGAGAGCGGCAAGATTTGGAGACTTCAAGGAATAGAATCTTGCTAATATAGTCCATTGGCCAGCCTTCTGCACTTCCTCTTCCTCTATAACCACTTCGATTGCGTCCTCATCCTCCTCCACAACCTCCCCCTCAATGAAAGCTGCTGGCCCCTGATGAGTCGTACTGTCCACCTCAACAGCAGTACCCGCACCTTCCATCGTGGTTTGGTTTTCATCTGGTGTTGCTACCCCGATTGCTAAAGTACCTTTATTCAGAACCTCCTCCCTTTGATTCGCCATGACGATCTCACCTCCCCCGGCCGGCTTCGGGTGGGCAACCATCGCAGTGATGATCCCTTTATCACCCCCACCGGCAGAGGACGCCATGAGAACGCCAAACAAGCAGGAGAGACGCAGATTGGAATTGCGGCTTTGCAAGATTGTCTTCAGGGAACTTGTACAGGGTGCAGATCCTTGCCCTAGGCTCTCCAATTTATAGCACTGAACGACAGAGTCCTTGACCGAGACAGACTCCAACAGATTAGATTGAACATGGCACTTCTTCCCCTTCCGGATCCTAACATCCCTGAAACGGAGTCTGATAGGGGATATGTATGGATCATAGATGTGAAAAAAACTTACCAACCTTAAGTTATCGTAGCAAAAACTAATTTTCTTGAACTGGCCTCCGAGTCGAGAACCAATCACCTGTCCCAAGGACGTAAGATCCCGAGACGAAAACCCCTCCATGATGTTAAACAAGGCAGGCGAAAACCCTGCAAACGACGTAACCGGATCGGAGAAGAACTCCATCCTAAGCCATCCCACAATGTGGGATATCGCCGGCGTCTCCCGGTCGCCCGGGAATCGCCAAAACCCTAATCCCAATATGTTGATTTCACTAATTGTAGTTAGATTATAATAATCTGGCTTATAGATTATAATAATCTGCTATAATAATCTACTTGTTTGTTTCAGTTTACTTCTAATAAGTTAGATTATAATAATTCTAAGCTGAATCAAACAGGGCCTTAGATGGTCGATCGACGATGTACAGATCAAGTGCACAGGTATTGGTTTAGCTAGTTAGTACTCCTTTCATCCCAAAATATAAGAGATTTTAGCTGGATGTGATACATTCTAATACTACGAATCTGAACAAATAGCATATCTAGATTTGCAACACTGGATTATGTCACATCCACCTATAAAATCCCTAATATTTTGGGTGACAGAAGGAGTATAGCCATGAACCAAGCAGCAGCAGCAAACATGAATCAAGCTAATCTAGAGCTAGATAGTGCGTGTGTGGGGTTCGTGCATGCCTGCAGCTCACTGATCTGTACGTATCGAGCGATATCAATTACTAGCTAGCTGCAGATGCAGCTGCCTTTTGTTTTGTCAGCAGCAATAATTCAATGCATGAGAATCCAAGAGATCTAATATGATTTAGCTTGTGCCCAATTGATTGGTTAACTGTTAATTACGTACGTACAACCGACCAATTAATCAAACTAACTGTTTTGTGGGTACACAAACTGCAAGAACCAGGGGAATTTCTTTCCCAGCCCAAATCCATCAACAACATGAATGTACTAGTTAATTAACGGCATGCGTGGCACCAGGAAGCAAAGAGATTTTTTGGTATTTTACTTGTAGCCTGTACATATATATGTTTTTTTGTTTGGTTTTGACATGGATTTTATTAGTGTGACAAACTGCTTTTATTTTGATATATCTTTAATTCTCTATCTATATATATGTCACAAATGATAATATATTATAATGCTTAAGAAATACTCCCTCCGTTTCTAAATATTTGATGTCGTTGACTTTTTTAAATATGTTTAACCGTTCGTCTTATTAAAAAAATTAAGTAATTATTAATTTTTTCCCATCATTTAATTCATCGTTAAATATACTTATATGTATACATATAGTTTTACATATTTCACAAAAGTTTTTGAATAAAACGAACGGTCAAACATATGCTAAAAAGTCAACAGTGTCAAATATTTAGAAATGGAGGGAGTACAAAACAATTGACAGATTTTATATATATATATATATATATATACACATATATATATATATAGACACACACACAATACCGTTGAGTTAACACATTCAGTTGTATCTATATAAGAAATGAGTATAAGTTTTGGCCATAACAACTTGAAACAAAAGGCAAACAATTAGTCTATCTAGGCTACAATTTGTTGGTTGCCCCGAATGAATTAGCTAGCGTCGTCAGTTCATTAATTAATTCATAGCTACACACGTTCAATTTTGATGGGATTCGATCAATATGTACACAGCTTTAATTCATGCACTATCAACACATCGAAAAATTGAACCAAACATTTTAATTAATTAATTAACAAAAACAGTTCTATTCATTAATTCGTTTATTTTGCATAATCCAGCATGCATGCACACTTACATAATACTCCAGATTCAAGTCCAGTGCATGTGCATGCAGTTAATTAAACAACTCCTTGGTTCGGATACAAATTAAAACACTAGAACACAGTACGTACGTACGTAGTAGAACTCATCACGCACATTTTTTTTTGTTGTCTACGTACATAGCACAGCACGTACGTATAATAGTACGTATAATACGAGACTAATTAATCAAGATACGTAGGTAATTAATTAACACGGATCGATAGCATAACACAGTAGGTCGTACGTAATTAATTAACTGATTAATTAATTACGCGGCGAAGAGAGAGGGGCACACGCGATAATAATATATCGTCGTCGTCCCTCCTGCGCGCGCATTCTCGACCGGCCGCCGCCGCGCGCCGGCGTGCACGCCGGCGATCGGTGGCCGGCCGGCAGGCCGCGCCGCCGCGATTAGTTGCTGCCGCCGCCGCCGCCGCCGTCGGCGACGCTGAGGCCAAAATGGAGCCGGGGAAGATGAGCCCACTGCATATTATACGCATGAGAAATTATAGATAGATATCATAATTAATTAGTTGATCCTAATTGCAGAAAGCTTAATTGTACAAAAGTTTTTCTTTAAGACACAAAATATAAGTAACAACCACCACTAATCTAAAGATAAGAAATACTAATTATTATCATAGCTTTGATCTGTTTAGATTACTCATAATGAACACAAAGCATGCACCTAATCTCTACTATTATAAAAATTGAAGATGTTTTTGCCGGTACTTTGGTACGTCATCCGTCTATAATTAAGTCGCTTTTAAGTTCGTTCGATTTTGGAAATACATATCCGTATTTGAGTGGGGTTTTAAGTTCGCTCCCTTTTTAGTCAGGTTTTAAGTTCGCTACCTTTTGGAAATATAGAAGGAGTTGTATAAGATATTTTTTTAAAAAAAAACTCGTATGCTAACTTGAGATGATCGGATTACTAATTCATGATTTTCTAAAAAAATATATATATCTAAGCAAATTCCTATAGTGAATTCATCTTAACTAAACCGTATAACAATAATAAAATTAAAATAAAAAAATTTTGTGGGTAAAATTAAAATAACGAATTTAGAGGAGGAGGGGGGGGGGGTTGTTAGTTAATTTGCATGTATGGACGTATTATGAGATAAGAAAGAAAATATTTATGCACTATCTTTTGGGATTGAAGGAGTATAGTATGTCCTGACTGCCTGCAACATCTAATTAGTTAGAGAAAAGTATTTACAATTAGAGTACTTACGTTCTTTGCAGCAGCACTGAATGCCTCCCTGTGGCTAATCTCAGGATTGCTGGTTTTAATCCTCTGTATCTCCTCCCTGTTGATATTGACAAGAATTAAATTAAATCAGCTTCTTGAGATTTAATCTTAATTTAACATATATACTTGCATTTAATTCTTTTGCATTTAAACATATATCTGTTTCTGTCGTCTGTGTATATAGAGAGATTAGAGAAGCATAACGATCCAATTAAGAAAACACACATATTACATGCATGCGTCTAAAATAGATCTCATCACATATATATACATGTACATACATGATAGCTAGCGCGCTGCAGACCAAAAGGACAAAAAAAAATCGGTGCACATAATTAATTAGAGCATAGCTATACATACTCCAAATGAAGTTGAATTTACTCATTCATCATATATATATATGTGGCATTGAACAATTTGATATATACACGATTTGTTATTTTAAAAGAACAAGTCTCATATATATATTACTGAAATCTTATTTACAATCTTGCAACATGAACCTCTAGATAAACTAGCGTATTTATATTACTCTAATAAAATGGTTTGGTCAATGCATGTTGTATGACAACTTAATATATGAATTGCATTTCCATGAATTCTTAGTTTGACACTGGGGGTTTTAAATTGTTTTCTCCATTTTAAAAAAACATGTTTTCTCAGTTCAATATTTGTATGTCTACATTGCCACAGTCAATATAATGTATATGTTCCTTGGATTTTAGCAAACTAAATGTATTTAAATAAAAAATATTGTCTAATAGACTAAAGGCTTGTGAAAATGATGATAGTAAATATTATTATTGGTTCCCGTTTCCGAATAGACTAAGGTCTACCAAAGTCATAAAACATGCACTTACACTAACCCCATTCTTAATTGAGGTTTTCTCCTGCCTTTGAATATATAAGTATATTCATCCCTAATAGTTGAACTAATTAGAATAAAAGTATACAGTTCAACAACATCAAAACTTTTCTGGTTCTTGGGAGGTACAGATAGGTATTTGTGCATCATAGTGTTAGGCATGAGGTGTATACATGTCGGTAGAGGTATATACCTCTATACTGCTAAAAACCGAAGAAAAACTCAAGATCAAATATAAATAAATATCCAACCACATATGTTACATTGTGAGTTTTGTTTTGGTACCTTTCTTATGGTACTCAATAACTAGCCTTTTTGAAAATATCTAGAGTTTCATATTTACTGAAAAAAATTACTCGAAATAAGATTCCTTTTCTTTTCACACAAAAGAAGTTAAATTTGCAATATGTTCTTTCAAAATAAAGAATTCACCGGACAAAATCCTAGCAATAAGAATAATTATTCCAAAAGTATAAACTTCAAAAAAAATCTAGTAGCAAAAAGTTCCAAAATCCAATGACCAAACAACGACCGATCATAAAACTTTGTAAAGTACATTTCCACAAAATTTACCAACAGAACTTGTGGTCCAAAATGATCACTTCACTAAGGGTTTGTTCGGTTAATCCCATGCCCATGGAGATTGAAGGGATTTCGGGGATTACTTCCACACCCCATCCCCTTTTGAATCCCCATGGGAAGGGAAAGCGAACAAGCCCTAACTAGATTATGTGTACAAATTAAAGGAGCGCAAAAGGAAGTAGTAGCCTAGACATAATAATATATAATTACGAAGTGCCCACAAATTAATCATTGTCGGAGTTCAAATATCCCCCCCCCCTCCCCCAAACACCCAATCATTATATTCAGGTTTTACTCTTTTTTTTTTGTGTGTGTGTCCACAATCGACCTGAGGGTCGAGTATATAGTAGTGTATGGAGCTTTTTGATTGCACACTGCGGTAGATAGAAAGAAATATAATTAATCTGTCTTAGGAACTCATGCATATTCCCCAAAAGGTTGAAGTGGGGATTAGTTTGTACCTGCACTTCGACTATTTATGGTTCTTTATCAATATATATTTAGCACCTTATACTATTATTTAATTTGGTGTCAAAATATACTTATTCAAGCAAGCATGTGTGGCTTGAAATCTCACTTGATGAATCTGTTGTATGCAGATGGGACACGCTGTCTTTTCTCAGGGGCTGTAAAGAAGAAAAAAGGACCAATATTTTAAATCTATTATACAAGCATATATATAATACATAAAACTAGCTATAATGTGAATACAGAAGAACAAGGCAATTTAATAAATTATGCAAGCTGATAATATATGTATTGTGTGTGTGTGTATGTATGTGTGTGTGTGTGTGTGTGTGTGTGTTAATACCTATAGATTGATCATTTGGGAAATCTAACACAGCTCCATGCGTATACGGGGAAAAAACTAATGTTTACTGGAATTCAGTGTGATCAGGTTCATATATAGCTCATGCATGAACTTGATTACTATAATATATTTTGATTATACATTAGAAGCCTAGAACAGTAAATATAACCTTTAACTATATTATATATACCCATTTTGCATGCATGCTTATATAGAGAAATAAAAAATAAACCCCATAATTTAGTAGATCAATGAAATAAAATCATGAGAAAATTAATTGTGCATACGACGTATAGGTGACACTTGCTGCTGACTGGTTGGCATTGGGTACATGGCTGTCGATGTCCTCTGATTTCTGGAAGCTATGTCATAGCTTCCAAAGTTATTACCTTGAAATCCTCTGTTCTGTACCTAAATAAACAAATTTAGATGTGACCATTCCACTGTACGTAGTAAATAATTAATATTAATTCTTTTTTTTACATACGTACAGAAATTAATATTTCATTTGTTTTGTTTCATAAAAAATAAGATATAGCTGATATATATGCAAGAGATTCTTCGGCTACAGTTTTGAACTGAAATTTCAAACCATTATTTCAGTTTTTAAACCTGGTGATCTTGAACAGTGCGTGCTTGGTGAAAAGGAGCAAGATCCATGGAGAGCACCATTGTGCAATGCCCACATCTAACAGTCACAATGTTGTAGGAACAATTGTTTGGCACATTCACCTGCACACATATAGAAGCAACAGTACTCAGTTCATGAGTAAGGTACGGTACGTATTTCGGTATTTACATGTACCACATTTCTGATTTTTTTTTTGATTGAGTAAAACACAATCTCTTATATTTTCCTATAATATCTATCCATTTACATTTTTTTCGTTTCCTCTCTCAGAACACTGTGATTTATTATATGCATAACAAACTTATTAATAAAAATATATAGGGGTAATTCTATCAGAAACGTAAAACAGAAAAAAATAGGATTTCATGACATATATATATACATGGAATATGTAGCTCCAATTAATAAGTCTGGTAGAGTTACCACACAAGCACACAGTATTATTGTTTACCTCCTGGTCCTAATTAATTGACTCCCTAGTCCCTTCGTCCAAATTCATTGGATTCTTAAATAGTGGTATAAGATATAACTGTTCATAAAATTATTTATCGCAGATCGATCCACAAGAATCCAAGCAAATAATGCTAAAATGCTATGCTAGCTAGCTTGCTAGCTATATGTATCAGCATTGGCCTGAACATGTATATCAACGTATGCTACCGTCTGGTCTCTCTTCAAATAATTCAATGTGTTCTCTGCAACAGTGTTCAGTCATGCACTGCAAATAAGAGGTGAGTAGATGACCATGCTGCTGGAAAAAAAATAGTAGCCTTGCAGCTACAAGATTAATTGAAGTATATATCCATATATATTAATTGTCAAATGCCAATGCATGTGTGTGTGTTTTTAGAGAAGTGTATTTTTTTACCCGGCCTCTATATCCAATTGGATAAAAACTTAGCCTATCAAGCACAAATAACCCGTTTTAAATTAGGAACTTAGCCTATCACACAGAGAACTTAGCCATCCATAATATAACCCAATCTAAAATTCACTTCTATGGATATTTGAACTCAGAACCTTGGGGTGTTACTCAGGTCACTGCAACCACTAGGCTACGTACCGTTTCACAATATATATGTGTATGTGTGTATGTAGTCAATATATATGTGTATGTAGTCAATATATATGTGTGATGACAAAGTAGCTAGCTAGTAGCTAGGAATGTCAAAAGTTGCACCATGTCTCATATCCATATCGTCTTTTGAGTCCTATTTGGCCATCATGCACAAATAACACCTTTTCCCAAGTGTGTCTCCCTTTTGAGAGCTTAGCTAGCTCTTTGCCTGGAGAAGCTTGAGCCATATATGCATGTTTTCTCTTACTACCATGCAATGCATGATGCATCTCACACACTCAAGGCCTCCAGGAGGCAGAGACATGACATCTCAATCAGGTCTAAAGAAGAATATCTCCCTAGATTCATCTCATCAGTCAGACACACACACACAAACAAACAGGAAGAGAGAGACACAGCAGAGAGACAGATCTTGAGATTGAGATAGAGAAATCTATGTGCAGATGACTGAGATCTATACTTAGGTAAGTTAGATTTGGTCGTGTGAACAGTACAATCATCCTTTCCAAAAAAAAAGCATGAAAAAAGAGGAGGCATCTTTACAGTTAAAAGTTCATGTCACACTTCTTTTACAGTTAAAAGTTCATGTCACACTCTCCTCTCTTTCAGCACAACACATACTAAGAGACGCATGCATATATATTGCATACTCACACACACACAATATAGCTACTACTACTAGCTAGCTAGAGAGAGTATGTAGAAGAGACCCACCTGCGCAAACATCAACAAAGAGGAAAATGACATGACAGGCAGATCCACTTCTTTCTGCACATGTGCAGAATGAGAGACAAAGCTGCAGGATGTGGTAGCAACAGGCAGCAGCTTAAAGCCTTTTTTGTTAATTAAAATTTGTTTATTCATAAAAAATTTCGGTTTTGGAGAGGTGGGCACACTCAGGGCACAGCCAATAATCAGAGGAATAGCTCCAAGTGTGCAGCACAGTACAGACACTGGGGTATTATCGCATGGAGCAGCTAGCTAAAGCTAGAGAGGCAATAATTAATGGTTAAAGATGCTAGCTTTAATCACCTGCACGCATCTAAAAGTTTAATTTGACCTGAAATTATTTCTTTCTTTTTGTGGTAGTATAGTAGATCCATACATGAGAAAGCTCTCAGATAATATTATCTTATGTACATGTTCCTTCCAAAAATGTGTATGACCCCATGCGTCGAAAAACTATGTATGTCGGGGACAATACTTTTTTTTTTCTCTATGAGCAAATCAAGCATTCTTTCCAAGGAAAATTACCATTTTGTACAAGATATTTTGCCTGATGAGCGAAAGAATATAATCAAATAGTGTTGGATCTGGATAATGCACCGCTATAGGATATATACAAATATGTTGGTTCTCATCCAAAACCAAGAAGAGTTTATCCCTTCTGTAAAAATAAATTAAAACCGTACAAGGTGGATCAAGTCAGAGAGAAACAGTCTTGTTTCAAGGAGATACAAAAATGACACCCTTGGGTGGAAGATATGGATTTTTTTTTCTTGAAAAGTTGGAGAAGATGAAAAGAAATAGTACAAAGTATGTTTGCAATATCCTTCTATTTATATGATTTTATGTTTGCCATAAAGAAAATCTGTGCATTTCTGTTACCATGTACATGGAAGTTTATGCAAAAAGACCGGATTGCTGGATTTCGATGTACTGGAGAACTCTCCAGAAATATAAAATTACAAACTTATCCAGGACAAAACAAAGTGCAATTAGTTTAGTAAACAAGTAGCTAGCATACTTGATTAGGGTGCTTATTTTCCCCTAGCTTAGGCTACCTCTATGCATGGACTACAGCATGCACGCATTAGCCCCTTCAAAAAAATATACAAAAAAATTGAACTCCCCATATAGATCCGGCAAACACCTCAAATTAGAACAGAAATACACAAGATATGAGAGAGAGAGAGAGAGCTAGAGAGAGAAAGAGATGAGGGAGGAAGACGATACCACAAGGATAGTGTTGCAATAGTTGCAGTTGACATAGCAAACATGCTCCGATGTAAACTGGACCGACATTTCCCCCCGATCTCGATGCGTCTACTCACCGAAGAGATCGATTGGAGGCGCGTGCCACACAGGGAGAGAGGAAGAAAGAAAGAAGCTAGCTATATATCCAGGAGCAAAGCAAGCAAGGGAGAGATATGTATGAACAGAATGATGCCTCCTGTGCACTATATATGGAGGATTTTGGGGAGAGCACAAACCCAATTTCCTCTTGACCCTTTTGGCTGTCTATGAGATGGAATTAAGGGGTTTGTGAGAGAAGCTAAGCTAGCAGAGGATATGGCCCTGCAATAAGCTAGAGAGGGTACTACCAGCTGCTGGCTGATCTGAGTGGGGGCACACACAAGAAAGGGAGGAAGAAAAGGTGTTTGGTGGGGTGTCTTGTGGGAGGACAGTGTGTGCAGCTAGCTAAGCTGCAAGCTGAGTGCAAGGAGAGGTTGGAAAGATCAAGGCCAAATGAAATGTGGGTACAGCAGATGAGCAGCCAATTAGCAAATGCTGGTGTGACTAGCTATATAGCTAGTACTCCGTCCGTCCAACAATATAAGCATTTGAATTTTATCCAAGAATTAATAATAGCATTCATACACTTGTGTACTTGTTACACCAATCACCTCCAATTCTTACTCTCAATCACCCTTCCATCCCCAACCATCAATCTCTCATTAAACGAGAGAGACTAAAGTCTTTTCTCCTTAACCTTCACATTTACTCCCTCCATTCCAAATTGATCTACATATTTCATATGTACACCAAGACCAAGAAAAGCTAATAACTCTCTCATACTATATTTACTCTAGCAACAAGCTAGATGCATGCACCATCCCCACTATCTCCTAGCCAATAACAAATCAAGATATTGCATGTGGGTTATAAATACTTGTGTGCATGGATGCATGCATCAATGTCCATTTACTCCAATGCACAAATAACGAATAGACCTAATGAATGAACACAAATATGTAGATCATTTAGGAATAACCTCAAAAAAACTATATGTATATCAATTTGGAATGGAGGGAGTACTTAACAATCTAGAAATGCTTATATCGTTGGACGGAGTGGGTAGCTTATTTGGGAGAATGAGTGGTAGGAGAAGAGTCTACGTTGCCAGGGGGCTTAATATTCCATGGTGAATTAATTATTTAGGACTTCTGCTGTTTAGTGCAGTACTACTGCATGCATTACCGTTACTGGCTTGCAGGGTTTGTCTTTGATCAGCAGATAGGTTCTGTTTTTTTTTGTTTAACGTTGGTTGTCATCTCGCATTCGTTTGTGTGTGGCAGTATGGCATCATTTTCATACCAAATAACATTGGGCCTAACAACATCAACAAAATGGAAAATGTGTGACTGGTATGCACAATGTGCAAGAATCACATTTATTGACAAGAAAGCCATGCATGCACAACTTTATTGACTATCTTTACGGAGTCAAGAAAAACATGAATTAAATATAACATTGCATTATACTGTTAATCTGTCAAACAAAACAATGTACGATTTTTGTATTAATGCTATTAATTCCCTCGATGAAGAACAAAGTTCCAAAACCCTTTGTTCTTGTCTTATCAATGTATATAGTGGTATATAGACTATAATACAACAATTCAAGTTCATGTACACATTTATGTACAGTATATTGCACGTCACTTGAGATGGGGCTACAGGATCAAGCATCCCCTTCCATTCGTTTATTCTTGACGGTTTTTAGCCGTCAGGGCTAACCCGGTTTCTGGTAAGTGGAGGTACTACTAGCTAGCAGCTTTGGGTGCGATCAGCAGTTTTGCACTTTCATGTCCAACGTTTGACCATTCGTCTTATTAAAAAAATTTATGATTAGTATTTTTATTGTTATTAGATGATAAAACATGAATAATACTTTTTGTGACTAATTTTATTAATTTTTTCATAATTTTTTTAAATAAGACAGACAGTCAAACATTAGACACAGATATCCACGACTGCACTTATTTTGGGACGGAAGTAGTATATACCAGTGGTGCACATTATATTGGCTGAACAAATATCGATATCCCTGATATGATCAACTTATGGATGGTCCCGGCCCCCATCCACTTCACCCTGAAATATGGTAAAAATTGTATATATAATATATATCAAGGTGGGAGGAACAAGCAGCAATGTTAAAGAGACTGAAAATTGTACATCAAGATGGGAGCAACTACTCATCATCATGCGCTTTAAGTTAATTGGAGTTTGTGATATGATGACAGGCACGTCAATGGGATCGCCTCATTGCCACTGTCATTCTGTCATCATCCATGCCAAAAGCAAAAGGAAAAAAAAAAGAACAATGATCGACTTAATTAATGGCATTTTTTTGTTTGCCGTGGGGCATATAATCAGGGAAGATTGGACCAGCAGGAAATGATTTTACGAATAAAGCGATTTGCCTTATAATTGGATTCCTTATATTAATTACCTAAGAACATGTATGTGGTATATTATTATTAAACTATGCGGCATATATGCACATATATATGGCATGCATATGTATGTGTTCTAGGTTATAAACTAATTAACCTAATGATATGCCTCTCTATAAATCAACTCCTCTATGTACCAAGCAAGCATTTTGCTGTGGGAATAATATATAATCCTCAAAAGGCCAGTGAACAGGTGGTCCGAGGTATTCTCTTGTTAATTCCATGCATATATTATATTCGTCAACTCCATTTTCCCTAAATATATATACGTGGCAGGGTCTACACCACCATTCGAAATATATTATTTCCACATTTTTAAATGGTTGATATATAAAAAAAACTTACTGCGTGATCAGGAGTTCTTATCATCAAGTACAATAAAAGTGATCCGCATGTACTATAGTTGACAAACAACAACGATAATAATCATGGAATCAAAAGTAGCTCTTAGCGTTTATACTCATCCGAATGCTACTGGTTTATCCTTTCATTCTTTTATAATATGTAATAAGAAATCGTAGGTAAACAACTTTTTGTCCATATGACTTCGTGCTGGTCATATTTATATTACACTGTAAGTTAACTTTGTTTTGATGGTACTAATATACACATATATCAATAGAAATAAAGGAAAGGTCCACTATATATTATCTCTAGATCAATTAGTTCGTTCTGCAACAAAACTATTTACAATGATCGATCTATTTTCAGTTGCAACGTATATATAGGTTCTTACATTTTTATTCACTTTCCAAATTGTTATAGTATAACTGAAAAATACACAGTACCGACAACAGCTGGTTGTTAATTTCCAACCCCTTATTTTGACCTATCAATCATTCATCTTGAGTAAATGTTTGATGCAGACATGAGCACAGGATACCAAGTACAGTTGCAGAAAAAAGGGTTGTACCATTCATTTAGCATGCTAGTCCATTTCCACACACAAGGCAACAATTCCATGCATGGATAGCTAGCTTGTGAACCTGCAGCAGGTGGTTGTATTATCCCCTACAAAAAATAAATCAATATATATAATATACCGTTTGATGAGTTTGCCTGTGTACCTAATGCAATTTAATCTTAAAAATAATATACAGAGATGGTGCAGCAAGTGGGATGATGTACCGTACCGGTTCTTGATTGGACGATGCCTCTGCTCAGGAAATGTCACCTCAATTGGACAGATTGGATCCTCATCAAAGTCTCATCAGCAGGGTCCAGAGACTGACAAGATGCATGCCTAACCAAAACTAATGTAGGAGTATATGCCTAACCAATTCTCAGCTACTGATGCCCTTTCACTACAATGTGAATCCACAAAACTGTAGGAGTATAGATTTGTGCATTGCTTTTGAGTCCAGCTGCCTCGCTGACAGACCCTACCGAACAGAAAACGTTTGGATTTATCTCTGCAGTAAAGCATGGAGCAGCTCATAACTCTTACTATTACGACTATATGATTCTCTAAAAGTATGGCTATACCTAAAAGACATGGCTGAAAAACGAATTGATACAGAGATCTGGAACTGTTTCCAGAATATAATAATAGAATATATATATGGATATGTTTGGTGGTACATATCCCCTTTCTCCAGCTATACCACACTACCGACAAGACCAGAGAAGAACTATTCCCTAAAAAATATATTTGATGTTTAGAATAAGATTCAATCAATAATTTCTCAAAATACTTGGTTTAAAAATAAAAAAATTGATATGAGTAGATATTCCTTGAGAAGTGTTATTATAATATCATAAACTTATTAGATTTTAAAATTGATTGTTGGAGTATTCGAAGTTTAACGAATTTTGTCGTAAGCGTCAAATATTTTTTTACTATAGAGATTACAAAAGTTTTGATTTGTAAATTTGAATAACTCAAAACAATTTCAAAATTCAAAGTCAAACGAATTTAGCAATTCAAGATTTCATCGATCTCGCAAAAACTTTGCAAAGATTTTTTTTCTGAAAAATATATGGATTTCTCCACAGGACTTATGTACTAGATTACAATGACGATCCTTTTTCTTTTCATTTTGAAGGACTCCTGAACAGCCCTGTTCACCTCAAACAGTACCCTGGAAATTAAAAGGGAAGTAGCTAGTAGGAACCAAGAGACCAGGGCTACATATGCATGCAAAGAACAACTCCCTCCCCCATGAATCTTGATAAGCTTAGCTCATATATAATGGAGTATCATATATATACATACATGTGGCCTCTCCTTTGTCCTTTTCTCTTGCAGGAAACAGGTGCCATTCTTGACATGTATCAGCAAAGCTAGTAGCTAGCCAGGGTCCAGGGCGGGCATGCATGCAGTAGCAAGCTATGCCTGCACTGCATATCATGCATGAATGCATGTGCTCGATCGGAAATGGGGTGGCAGCCTTGGCGTACGCCTGCCAATTTAACCAAGCCACTACATGGCCGGCAGACTGGCCACTTTACTTTGTCCTCTCCCTGTTCCGCGTACACCGCCCGGATACATATTGCCACACTGTTTGATCGATCGATCGTCGATCGATCTGCTTTGATTTCTCTTTTTTTTTTTACTCTCTTCTCGATCACCGGCTACAGCTACCAACCCGGTCCCCGGCATTTTTAGTTTCATTGTGTACATCCCGTCAGTCGTCGTTTTACTGTTGCTTGGTAGTCGTTCTATGTGTGGTACGTTCGGTGGTTGGTCTATGAGCTTCAAGTTCTGATCAGGCAGCAATGGAAGATATATACTACCAGCAAGAATTTGAATCCATCTATTATATACAAAGGCAGGGCTAAATGTAACATCCTAGCCCTTTTGTTTGTATCTTGTAGTGTGGTGATGTGTGGTTTAGGTCCGTGTGGCTAGATGTGTTTCTAGTGGTGGTTTAATGCTACCTTACCCCAGTTTAACCCTTTTAAATGAAGCGGAACTATATGTAACCTTTTACACGTAGGATGGTAATAAAAAGTAAGTGGATACTATGTAAACATGGGCCTGTTCAACATTATTAAGAGTGGACTAACATGGATTTTGGAGGCTATGTGTTGAGTGTTACACTAAAGAGGCCAATGCACCTTCTCTATATGCCTAGAAATTATACCATATTAGTTGGAGAAAAATATATAAATTTACACTGTTTAATCGTGACTTTCTAGAAAAATATATTATCGATATTAGTTGTATACAATAATATACAATTGTAATTAATATTTATAAAAAAGAAGCAAGAGATGTTTATAAAATCTTACTTTATTTTTAAAATCTAGGTCCATACAAAATTGTACGGAAAAATCTGCTAGCTAGTTATCAAATAGATATCGGGTGTTCATCTTTTAGTTTTTCATATAATTTTTTAAACCTCAAAACCAGTCTTCTTCAATTCAAAAGCTTTGGCTGATTGTTGGCTAGCTAGGCACAATATTACTGAACCAGGTCGTTAGCTTGACGTATGCACGGTCAAATATTTTGATTTGATTGTTACAATAACATTATCGGCGATGGATGAATAATAATGCCGCTCTCCGCGTTTGTGTTTAGCAATAATTAAAGATCATCTATCTGATGATAGTAGCTGTCATGATGACAATTAATTAGGTCAATTGCGTAAATTTCTTGTCAACCGGTGGCTTCTAGTCCAATCGTAGAACAGGTGTGGCTTGTGGTTAACGTTAACATGCATGGCTCACACTAACCTATCTCATCTGGGTAGTATTCCCTTGCTAGGATTTCAGTGTTTGGTTCTAATCTCTCTATCAAAACTTGGTTAATACTGCCAATACTGCATAGTGCCAAAATGTTGGTAAGGACAGAAATGAAGTGATTGTGTTTGGTACTTTGGTTTGGTGGTTGGTGCCAAATAGTGTTAATTAATGTGAGATGAATATATCAGCTAGCCCAGCCCAATCTTACTAGAGTAAGCTGTTTATCAAATGTTTGTCTTTATTACTTTACCAAAATTTTGAGGGGTAAATGAATCAACCAAACTAGCTAGCTAGCCTTGAATCTCTCGAAACACTACTATGAGAACCAGGTGACCCAACTATACCCTTTTGTCTTTGCCAAGAAAGAAAGAGAATTACCTCTCTGGTTCTTGCCTCCAAAGGGCTGGAATTAAATAAACTGGAATGGTACTTGTTGCTCCAACACCGTGCAGGGATCTACAGCATCATAACTAGTACCCTGTAGCTCTCACTGCAAGGCCACAACTTCTCTATCAGAACACCGTACAAGATGCTCCAGATCAGTTGCTAGCTAGCTCGATCACCTATCTAGTAGCTGGTAACTGTAGAAAAAAGTTTACTGAAACACACAGGACAGTGTTGTTTACCTTGAAGGAGCAGGCACCGTATCAATCGTGACCACCATCAATGTTAGGATACTGTAGACGCTGATAGATTGTACTTGGAGCTTGGGCCCCGGACAGCGATGCAGGCGTAGTAGCAGAGCAGCAAATGCAATGCTTTGGTCTTCTTCCATCAGAGGGGAGGAGAGGGGGGGGGAGGGGGGTCTCGCTTCATCAGGTGCCCAATCCTATCATGGATCTGACCATTCATGTGGGTCTCTCTCCCTTCACTCTACAGCTCACACACCAATCTCTTCATTGATTGTATTTTGTCATCCTTATCAGGGCTTGTTCATCTTTTTTTTCAATCTGTTCTTCCCTGCGAAAACGGGGAAAAAAAGATCTCAAATACGAATAGAATTCGTGCAGGCTACAAGTAGGTACTATCAGATATGGCCGCGTCCGAAAGTTTTCTTCCATTATCTCAGAAAAAAGGTACGTGGACCATAAGATAACCAGACACCAGTACTCTTTGGATCGAAACTAAGATAATAAAGTAGCAAAAATGAATCACTTAAGAGATTATCAGCCCTACCTGAACAGTTGCCGACTGCAGCTAGTGAGTGGAAACATCGTCTCCCTTCAGATGACAACCTTGACAACACAAGCACAAACGAACGCACAAAGTTTCAGAGAGAGAAAAAACATGGGTAAAAGGAGGGAATTAGCATATTAGCTTGCACATGAAGATCAGCTGTTCACTGTACCTGGGGTATGGAGTTGTCATTCAGAACACAGTTTGTCCAGGACACCTTGTTGCACATAAAGCTCTGATGCCCATCCAACCTGGTCTGGTCCTGTGGTATGTCAAGGCAGAAAAGATGTTGTTGAGATATGTCAGAATATTTGTCCAAGGCAATCAGGCCAAACAGCACTGAGGACAGCAATAATCTTCTGTTATTTGTCAAACAGCAGAGTTCTGGAGATAGGTCGGAATCAGAGATGATCATGTATATATTTTCCTGGTCCATAAAGCAAAGCTACAGAATGGGGTTTTCAGACCTTCAATGATCATCATGTCAGTGCCATCTGACTCTCAGGAATTGGCAAATAGCCATTCATGGATGGAGCAACACAGGAGTAGCTATGGCGTCGCACTCGCGACAGGAACAGATCGATCACACGAGTTAATTAAAAAGGAGAGGTTACATCGTTTTAAAAATTATTGGCAACAATTCGGTGACAAAAAGAATTTTGTAGAACCCAGGCTAATCACTAGCAGGCAATTACATTGTAGGACCCCCAAGCCATGTACAAAAAGAATCTGGAAAAGAATAGTTCATTAGCTAGGTCTTTTGTTCTCCTGTCGGCAATTGAATCTGTACATGCTATTGTATAGGTTAGTGACTTGAGAGATTCAAGTGCCCCATATGTTGAATATGTAGGAAGATCTAGACTTGGCAAAACATCCCGAAAAAATATTTGATGTATTGCAGCTGTATCTTGATCATTCTCGTCTGTAGAACAGCACATAAGCAGCAGGTGTCTTTATACTGTCTTCAGTTATAGGTCTCACGCACTCATCATCAAACTTATACCATCCCTTCCCTTCTTCATGCTGCAGAAACCAACCAGCCTTGCTCGTTATCAAGACATTGAAAAAGATGGTTTAAAGGCTGGGTGTAATGAGAATACATGAAAGAGGAAACTCACGTAGATGCTGGCGGTGTAGTGTCCACCTCCCATATTTCCATAGTGATTGCTAATAGCATACAAGCGATAGTGGCAGTCTGATAGTTCACTCTTGTCAATGATATATGATGACAGATCCAAATCACTAATGGGGAAATCCACAAATGTCTCAAGCTTATTTCTTGTGAATTGGGTGTACGAGAACCTTTTGAGATGAATGACAAGAACTTCCGGTAGCCTCCACAGATCTAATTTCTTCATCGCTTGTTGATGCTTTTTGCAGCATGGGCAGTACCTGAATGCAAAGCAGAGAAAAAAAGTGGGTATCAGTAATGCAACAACAGTACAACAGTACACTTCCAATTCAGAATCCAAAGCAAGCTAGCCATGTATTGAGGTAATATTTTGCAAAGGTAATCAATCTATTTCAGCTTCATACATACGCACATCAACCTATTTTGGTTAACAAAAGAAATGAAGATTGCAAAGAAGGCTATTCAATAAGCAGTGAAGCCAAAAGCATAACAGTTGTTCCTCAGGGGGGGCACTCATGACTCACCACATGTCTTCTGGGCCCAACGGTTCCTCTTTTAGAAAGGCTTCCAGACAACCATGTAGTGCGACAGAATCTTCATTTCCTTTCGGGATAAGCTCAAGCTTATGAATCTCAGGTAGACTTTTCAGCATTGAGGTGTCATATTGTCCTACTGCATTTTGTTGCCAATGGACATTGATAAGTAGCCGGTTTGGTGTTGTCTGTAAATCCACCTCATCTGTTTGTATTCTCGTCTGCTGGAATTCACCCCTTCCATTTATTAAATAAAATTCAAACTCTTCCATGTGTGCCTCCCGATCAGAATCAGTAGTGTCACCAATATTTGACTCACTAGGTCCTTCGGTCATTTGGCATTCAATAGTCTCAGACTGGCTACTTTCAGGGGCGTTTTCCGATGGAGCACTCTGAAACTTACTATCTGAATCAGGCGTTGCATCCATCATGACAGCAGCACAGCCACTATTACACCTCCCACTATCATTAAGAGAACTAGTACTCTTGGAAAATCTTAATGGTTCCAACAACTTCAGGTAGATATTCTTCAGAGTTAATCCATTGGCTCTCTCAGGAAGAACTGCCAGCAGTGGGGCCTCAAATTCCTTCATTTGTGGTGTTATATTATCAATACTAGAACGCCTGGATTCAGAGGTACCAAAAGCGTATTATTAGTTCTACTAAAATACCTAAGTCAAATAAAAATCTAGCAACAAATATATCTGATTGTGCTTACTCATCAAAATATTGGTGTGTAAAAACCACAACTGGGGATTTTTCATATTTTCTTGGTAGCCGGAATGCTGCCAATTTATCTCCATCCCTCAGCAATGAAACTGAATCTGAAGGCTCTTCGAGGTATCGGAGGATGCGGTTGTTATAAACCTGTAGTCACTTCCAGTAAGTAAAAGGCCTAATATGACTCATACTGTTTAACCTGAGATAGAAAGTGGCAAAAACGCAAAAGGGCCAAAGCTCAATGGAGATAAAAGCATACCTCTGTAATCAGCAGGATTTCATCATCTCCCAGTGAACAAGCAGAACTTAAAGCCTGAACAAGATCATTAAGACTCCCAAATTGTGGCACAGTGACATCATATGAGATTGGCTCTATACTACCATCAGTGCTGAAAACTGTAACAGTCATTGTCCTCTTTGCCGTGGAAGGTACAGGCAAAGACAAGTACATAAATGGGTCAAAAGTGACAGATGTTTTACTGCAAGTAGGGCAAGTTAATGTAGATTTGTACTGCCCCTGCAAGTAGATGTCAGAAAAGGGTCAATGGCAGGAGAAGCAGGAGAAAATAATAGTGTAATTGCTTTAACACATGAAAAATTTAAAGAACTTACATGGTAAGTATCAACTATTACAGAGTCATTTCGAGCTAAATGATTACTCCAGTACTCATCAGCCACTTCTTTGTCAGGGCGCCCACTTGCATCCTTAGCTTCTTCATATGGCTTGCACTTGACCTGGTTAAGATCTTCATGGAGGCCATCCAATAAGAAAGCAAGAAGCTCCTGTGAATCATGCTGATTGAAGCCACTGAACTGAGGGGCAAAACAAGCAATCTTTGCCTTAAAGTGATGTGGTGAAACTGGTTTTCTCTCGGTGTTCCATAATCTCCTCAATAATTCTCCAAATGCCAAAGCAAGTTCCCCCTAAGTAATGAAAACATCAGTGAATTTAGCCGATATATTCAAAGGAAACAAACAGTAAACTCATGACAAACTATACATACATTCAGTCCTAGTGGGTTAGTCCGATTTATATCCCTGTCATAATCTCCTAGGAAATAATCAACAAGCTTTGATGTGTGGGCCAAACATTGAATTGAACTGTTCATAAAGCAAGTATTCCCAAGATTTTCCAATCCAATTAGCCCATGCGAGCTAGATCTTCCAAAGCTTCCATAGGACAAATCAACATCCATATCATTAACATCTGCAGAAGATTGTTCTGTATACTCTTTGCTGGTTCCACCAATCTTGGAAGTTAAGGAGTCAGACATTGCATAGACTTGCACTTCAAGAATATTCTGCACATGCCAAAAAAAATGATAAGAATATGGATCTAGGAAGGAAATTTTATGCCTGATTCTGAAACAGAAAAACAAGGGTATCAAGCAGGGGAGTATCAACTGATAATACCTCTAGCTCTGAGTGGCAGCAGTCATGATTTGACCTATTCCACTCATTCATTAATATTAGGTTTGTCTGGCCTGAAAAATCCCAAACATGAACCTGGATAAAGAAACATTAAGTAAACTGAACAAGTGGGAGTATATTGCTGAACTTGAAATGCAGACAAACAGCGACATACTGGTTGAGAATCAATATTAAAAATCTTGTATGCCCGTTTATAGTTCTCAACTGGATTGTCCTGAAATAGAATAGAAATTGTAAGGATGGGCATGAGAAAAAAATTTGATAGAGCCATATATCATCTGTCAAATAGGATAGCATTACCTTTTTGCTGATCTTCACAGTCAAAATGCTTGTTTCTCGAACAGATATCCTAAGCACCAAAGGGTACGCACCAGCACTATCCTCAGCAAATGAATGTTTATTATGCAATGCCAAACTAGAATTTTGCCTGGAGAAGAAAACAGAAATAAAGTCAGCAGAAATAGATGCGGCAAGATGGAAGCTGTAAATTGAACCTATTAGGCAAATAAAAAAATAACACAGACAAGATTTCATGAAAATTGATATTCTGAAGAAACATCTTTGGCATCAAGGTACAAAACAATTGGACGACATTACAGCACTGCAGAATATATATATTCCTAGAACTGAAAATTAATCCTCTGCTCTCTCTCACTTGGCTTAGCTGACCCAGACAAGGAAAGAGCTACTCATGTAAGTGTGAGTGCTGACCACACCTCATGCTGCAAGCAGCACGTGCACATGCACAGGAAATATGGTGAGGCCGGAAAGCTAAGTGCACGCTGCAGTGAACAGCTGAGAGCTGAGCTGAAAAGGAAGATGTAATCTGCTGTGATTGGTGGAAGGCAAGAACTGAGCACATTGATGAAATGTGCTAAGCAAGGAGAGGATGCTATCAGCACACAGATATCACCACATGGTCCAAAAGTATATTGTCCAAAAGTGCTCAAAATGCACAATAGTATAACAAAGACAGGCATAATGGTAAACATAGTGACAAAGTGGAGCTTGAATGGTATTAAAATATACCAAGAAAATAATGTCATATTTAGCTAACATTGGGATCTACTGAGAATACATTTAGGTACTTGCCAGCGACAGAGAAAACGATAATATATAGAACAGCAGCTTCTTTCTAGTTATCCTATTCAATTAATCATCAATCCTCTAGACTGCAGATTCTTTGTTATTGAAATATAAGTCCAGACTTGAGAGGAAATAGGAATCGCATGTAACAATAGAAAGTTTATATTATTCTATATGAAACATTTTCTAGCCTAACTTCAGCAAAACAAGTTTACCTTCGTTACCAAGTCTTCTTCTTCGTTACTTGTAAGGAATATTTAAAACCAAATAGAACTCCTGAAGATTAAAATTAGGGTCCCAAGAAACTCGTTTCAGGGAGAGCTATAGCCTAAGAAGCTGGATTAAAGGTGCAAGAATATGGAGGTTCAGAATATAATCCTACTCATGTCTCACATATAGGGGTATTACTAACTGAACATAGACGAATAATTTCAATCACAATTAGAATTGATGATTATGCTTACTGTTTGACCAAAACTTGCTACTCAACATAGTGAGAAGAGAGATAAATAGTGGCTAGGTTGCACATTGTTTTCTAAAATGAAAGTCTAGGTTACCAAAATGCAAAACATGAGATGATATTCATGGATGCTTCTGTGATACCAAAATAATCTATAAAATCAAACCCAACAAAAGCCCCTGTCATAAAAGCAGGGCCAGCCTAGGATTAAAGGGAACCCATATTGAATTGCTTTCCCTCTCAATAATTGAATAAATCCTACAGACCAGAAGGCCCTATATTTTCCACGAAAGTCAAAAATGTGCACATGTGTATTTATTATCGTCTTTTGTCAAGAAACAAAAATGTATTTATAAAAAATTGCACCTATCAACCAATGGGGTCTACTGGACTAAACAGTTGAGCCTCAACACTTGGTATGTGCTCACTCAGTAAATCCTATTTGCAAAAAGATGCAGAACAGAGCAACACACATCATATGCATGCATGATTTTATTGACAAGCATATTGCAGAAACCTTACTTTGGAAAGCAATAATTCAAGTAAGAAAACACAGCACAAACTTAAGTGCAGAAAGGAAGATGAACCCATCAGCATTGCTGTTGAGACACTAAACTCTCACTAGATAATGAATGCAAAATTTATGCATTATTAAAAGCAATCATTTTGAGACAGGTTTGATTTGCTTCCTAAGAAAGCCAAACAAAAAAAAAATCCTAACTGCACCCTCCAAGTTTGCGCAACATGGAGATGCGAACAATGTTAGCATAGCCCTGCATGAAATGTAAGTATGTAACTATATCATGACTTACAGTTTTATTTATTTTACATGCAATTATATTATGTTGAGAACTTCAGCTTATAGAGAAATTTCTTTAAGAGTAATTTATCCTGGCTTCCCACAAATCAGAAGTGAAGCTGCATGAAACGCTACAGTTTTAAAAGTCCGTTGCGTTTGCAACTGTCCATGCCAAATTGCCAGTATTGCTATGTTAGAGGTTCAAAAGTTGGAGGAAAGAATCTATAGCAAAGGCATAGAGCTAAAATGGGCTAAAACATATGTGTCTAGACTGAAAGGGGACAACATATTTAACCATCAAGCAATGCAAGAAACAAGTTCACCACCTAGCAAATGGTCTGGTACAACCTACAAGCCCTGCCCTCAGCATCACGTTGTGGCTCTAGTATGGATAGATGATTGCCACCCTCACGTTACAAACGAGGCACTAATCTAGCTTGAAATGCTGAATTCATCCTTTCGAGGTCACATACCAAGCCATGGAGCATTCCCGAGTTTCAGGGATTGCTAAATACACTTCCCCTAACTAGAATTCAAGCTTATTGAAGTTCAAAAAATCATGGAACTCACAATACATTAGAAACTAATTAGATCTCAATGCTGAATCAACCAGGTCAAAGGTCATGTATGTACCCATAGGAATCAGGAATGCATGTACCAGATCATTCCACTTAGCCACATGATTGAACTAAATTCTATTGCGCTCACTAGCATCCATCAATACCCCTCACCGAGTAGCCAAAAATGAAAAAACGGAAGTAATGGAGATCATCCCCCTTAGCCACATGATTGAACTAAATTCGATTTTGCGCTCACTAGCATCCACCAATATCCCCCCCCCCTCCGAGTAGCCCAAAAAAATGGAAAACGGAAGTGCCATTAGCGAGTCTCTCACCTCGCGAGCACACGCGAGAGCTCGTCGGCCGGCACGAGCGCGTAGCTCCGCCCCCCGGCGCCGGCACCCGTGCCGCGGCAACCCCCGCGCTCGAGGCGAAGCACGAGATCCGGGTGGAGGAAGCTGTGGAGCAAGCGAAGCCCGTAGTACGACGAGGGCGACGCCGCCGCGGTCGCCGCGTACCTCACCCCGCCTTCCGGCGGCGCCTCCTCCCTCACCCTCGCCCACCACCTGCGAAACCCACATTGCCCCATCAAAACCAAAACCAAAACCAAACCACAACCAAAACACAGCGAAGATGATGAGTAACATATACCTGAAGGGGACGAGGCAGACGGCGGAGTGGGAGGAGGAGGAGGCGGCGGGGGAGCCGCGGGTGGAGGCGGTGGAGGAGGAGGCGGAGGCCTGGGCGGTGGCGGCGGTGGCCATCGCCCGGAGGCGAGGGCGAGATGGGATCTGGGGGGCGAGGATGCGTGCGGGAAGTGAGCTGTGTGTTGTGGCTTCGCTTCGTTTGATCGCTGGGATTTGTAAAATTTTCCGGGGAGGAATTTGGGGCGTCGACTCGTCGGGGCTTGGGTATATGTGATGCTGCTGCTGCTGTGCTTGGCTGGCTGGGTAGCCGTTTCTTTGACTGCTTGCTTTGCTTGCTGTGGTTGCTGCCAGCCAAGCGGCGCGAGCAGCGGTGTGGTGTGGGTGGATGGCTGCCGCCGCGTGGCTGTGGAGATGTGGCTTGCGTATTGGGGATTTGGATTTCTGTTGCGGTTTTGGCTGGGCGTGGAGGATTAGTATTAATTGTTTTTTTTAAAGGCACTTTGGTGGTTGTGACTTGTGAGAGTGTTAGCCATGGGGGGGGAGCCCGCAGCAGCGAAAGATGGAGTGTACTTGTTTCTTTTTATAGATAATATGGAGTGTTTTTGTTAGTCTGAGTATTGTTATGCATACAATCTAGTTATAAAACTCATGTACAAGTAGAGATATATGGCCGTATATCAATCAAGGAGAGTATGTTCATGTGCACTGCGGTCGTTTGCAAATAGTTGATTAAATTCGGTCGTACGTGTGTCGGACAGCTGGGTCGTTTGCATAGCGATTTCCTTGTTAGTCCTTAGCAATATTTTGCAAGCATTTTCACTAATTAACAGTGGAGTTGCCGGCGGCGGGGTCTTGGTGGCTGCTTGACTAGCCCGGGAGCTAGATTGGTCACTGGTCTTGTATGAGCTTACCTCGTATCACGATTGGATTAGTAATATAGAGGTTATGTTACTTTGAGTCTTACACACTTGTATTTTGATGTAAACGGCTCATGCCTATGGATTTTAGTCTTACTTTGAGTCTTACACACTTGTCATATAAAGTTTGTTTTGCTTATAGATCAATGTGTTATTTTACGCCCTAGTTTTGTCCCTTAGGTTTCCGATTTCATACTTCTATCTAACAGCCTCATCGTTTGTCATATTTTCTGAATATGCCAAATGGCATATTTGCAAACGAGAATCAATTTGTGAATAAAACTTTTATATATGTGTTCTTAGCGATCTAAAAGCAAAGGCTGAAAAATAAACTTCGATGAAAAAACCCCAAAATCAGCTCCAAATTTAACGTTGAAAATTCAAATTTTGGATGATAAGCATATAAATATGCCAAACAATGAGGCCCTAAATGAATACGTATTGAGCTTTCGTGTCCAGCCATGAAAATAAACGAATTTTCATGTGTTATAGTTACTATCCAGTCATAGCCTCTTAATTTTAGATGACCAATTAATTTGGGCATATTTACAGAGTACATGATTTTTCACATGTGCTAAGTTTTTGTCAATAGGTAAATAGAGATAATAGCGATTTTGTAAGTCTATCAACATAGCATCATCTGTAAAACATTCAAATTCTATAGGAAATAAAATAATTTACACATGTTCCTTACCCTTGGCCAATTAATTTTACATAACTAATTAATTTGGGCATAATATCGAAGCTAAGAGTTTTCATGTATTGCATTCCTCGTAAACAGATAAGTAGAGGTAAGAGTGAATTCATAAGTACATATTGACATAGCATCATCTATAAAAAAAATGTCTATACACACGACTAGTGTGTACGACTTGTATCCGACTAGTGTAGGGCTGCTACATACCTAGGCCTACATAAAGAGATGTTGAACGTATTGATTGTTGGTCGGATGTGGGTTGTACGGCTCTAGTCGTACGTATAGCAGAACTCATAAAAAAAACACTTGAATTTCATACAAAACAATGTGGGGAGCGTCCTATTTCCTAAAACATTTATGCAATATTCCTTCCTTCTAAACTATCACTAATGAGATGCTAACAGATAGGAATGCAAATGAGCAAATGTGACCCACAACTACATGGCCACAACTATTGAGATGCTTACAGATGGGTAGACAATCCTTGGACCATTGCTTGGTGTTGTGTTGCAAGGAGCCACTTTTCTCCAAGCTAGCTCAGGCCCATTGGACTTAGCCAAGATGAACATATGGGCTCATCAACCTCAGCCATGGCTTCATCATGGTCCCCTGCAATGCTCACATGTGCACTGCTGGTGTCAACTATCAAATCAAGTGATGTTCAATCATCAATAATTAATCCCCCCTATAAGTATCCTCCTTATCTCTTTGCTCTGTTCATTTGAGGTGCAATCTCTAGTGCTCCCTAAAAATGAAAAGTGATGTTGACAATGTTGATGCTGATGTACCATCTCACATCATGATAATTGATAATATCAAGTGTAAGTACTCAAGCTCTACTTTTTGCTGCTATTGCAAATCTTTGATCAGATTGGTTTATGTATGCAGTCCCCTAATTGCCTCTCCATTTGGCTGCAAGCATTTGTAACACCTCTGCAAATGGTTTTTTGCTACTGTGATGCATTGTGTTTGCTGAATGTGATACATCATAAAGTAGTTGGGACTTGGGAATTGATTGATTCAGTGCATCAAAATCTTCAGAAACTTGAGTGGTGACATGCAATGATGCAAAGCTGCTAAGACATTAACACACCAGCTTTCTTTTAATCCAAAAGGCTATGCACAAACAGCAAAAGTGTAAAGCTGCAATTGCTTGCTCTTCTAATCTGTAATAATAATCTCTCTATATATACAGGACCACCACAGCAAGAGAATCCTAAGTTGCTTCTGTCAGAAATCAGAAATGCGCTAAGCTGCTGAATTATGTCAGGAAACATTCTGAAATCCACACCAAAAGATGATGAAATCCAGCAGTTTAATTTGGAGCTGATTGCCATTTGTCAAAGTCTTTTTTCATGAAACCACCAAGTTTCATCAGAAAGGAAACTGATTGATTGATGCATGCAATGATGCAAATTAAGGTTGTGAAATTGACATCTAAACTAAGCATATATACATCACATTCACATATGTAGTTTAACTGAAGCAAGTACTAGTAGCAGTAGTGGTAGTTTATGTACATGACAGGCCAACCACTAAGTCCAGACACACACTCAAAACCATCAAGAGGGGTAATTAATTACTACTAAAAAGATATAAGCAGATTAGAGTGAGTGAAAAGGGAGGTGGTAATTGACAATTAACCGCTAATTAATTTTTACTTTGCTACTACAAGCAAAGCGCGCACATGACGAGGCCGTTCTCGTTGCAGCCGCGGCACCGCACGCCGCGACCGCGCTCGCCGTCGAACACCTTGCGGCTGCCGTCGCACTCGCCGCACACCACGAACCTGAGCCCCCCGCAGGCGTCGCACTTGGCGGCGGCGGCGGCGGCGCTCCTGTTTTTGTTGCTGCCCGGCGAGAGGAGGGCGAGGAGGCGGCCGTCCTCGTGGAGGGCGAGCACCTGGGCGGCGCCGCCGACGTCGCGGCCGCGGACGAACAGGCGCGGGGGCACGGCCTTCTCCCCCGTGACGGACCAGAGCTCGTCCCGGAGGCCCCTGTCCATGGACACGTCCCGCTCCTGGAACGCGACGTCGAGGTTCTCCAGCAGCGCGCGCACGCCGTTGCAGTCCTCGAACGTCTTGCGGATGCCGCGGAGCGTGGTGGTGTAGAGCACCACCGCCCCCTCCCCTCCCGGCGGGCACCTCGCCGGGAACTCCCTGAGCTGTTCCTCCTCCTCCTCCGCCGCCGCCGCGGCAACCCCAACCCGACCCTCCTCGTCGACGAGCTCCCAATCATCGATCGGCTCCGCCCCGTTCTTGGTCGGGGTCTCGTGGGCGTCAAAGAAGGACGCGTCGTCGGAGAACGCGTCACCCGCGACCACCACCACCGCCGCGGCGGCTCGCCCCGGCTTGGTCGGCGACGGCGGCGGGGACGCGGCGGCCGGAAGCGAGGACTTGAGCGCGCACAGGATCCGCGCCTTGAGCGTCTTGATGATCATGGCGGCGACGGCAATGGAGATTGGGGGGTTGCAATTTGGGTTTGGATTTTTGGGAAGCGTGTGGATTTGGTGATGGTTGAAGAGGAGGGAGGAGGAAGGAATGAAGAAGAAGAGGGATGGAGGGAGGGAGAGGGGGGTTGGGGTTGCTTCCTTTTTAACCGCCTTTTTGACAACAAGGTTGAATTGAATTTTGTACTAGTCATTAGTCAAGTCTTTTTCATGGCTAATGGTTGCTTAATTATTGCTTAACCTCCTCTAGCATATAGGGATGGATGAGGAAGATTAAGAGTTAATCCAGGTGATCAAGGGACTAATCATACTTACTGGAGTAGTAGTATATTTTTAGGCTTTCTTTGGAAGGAGGGAGATTTTTTATTTTCATACGGAAATTGACCTATTTTATGTGGAATTACTACGGAAATTGATACAGCTATGGCAAAATTAAATGGAATTTTACTGCGTTCCAAACAGGGTTTGCTTGCTTAAATAGCTTGATTAACCTCCTCTAGCACAGAGCCACAGAGGGATGGAAGAAGATTAATTAAGCATTAATTCAGGTGATCAACGCCTAATGATACTATAATTTTTAGGTTTTGTTTGGAACGCGGTAAAAAAATTTGTATCAATGCTGAAATTGATCCATTTTGTGTGGAATTACTACGAAAATTGATACAGCCATGACGAAATTAAGTGGGATTACTGCGTTCCAAACAGGGTTTGCAAATTAAATGGGTTTATTAAACAGGGTTTGCTTGATTAGATTTTTGAACGGATTTTTTTTTAAAAAAAAGTTGAACGTAAGGTTTGCTTGATTAAATGAGTTTGCTTGGTTAAATGATCTTGCTTCGGTGCCTTAAAAGGTATTACACGAAAAGTTGACACTAAGTGCACATGATTAAATCCGTTAAAATTAATCATGGATTCTTTATTAACCAAATCGTTGGATCCACACTTTGCATCGCTCCAAATTAAATTAACGTTTGCTAACAACTTGTGTCCTGCAAATTAAATTAACGTCTGGTCGTAAGTGGTAACAACTGGTGTTAATGCGAATTAAACTGAATGTATGTTAGCATGGCAGGTAAAAGTAGCAATCCCAATTTCGTTTTTTTTATATACAGTCTCTCGTTTTCGAGCGGCAGAAATCCTATGCTTTCCCTACCTAATCTCGATCACATTAACCCAAATAACGAAGCAGAGTGAACTTGAGAGAATAATTAGCCCATCCTTACTGATGTTGACACGCAAACTCCAAATACTAGTACCCTAAGCTGTCAACATAACATGGTTTTCCCATGTGGCTAGTGGTTAAGTACAGCACCAACCACCCAGATTGCTTGCACAAGCTTCACACCTCAAAAGTTCAGGAATTTTTTCTCAAGATCAAGATGCATCCAGGCTCAATTCAACATGCAATGCAACACATTTCAACAGCTAAACGGAGTTAGGTACACTAGTGAGTGATGTTTTTATTGTATGTTCAACTCTGGATAAAACGTCTTAGTTGAACACAATGTGTTGGCAGATGCGCATTGTATTTGAGTTCTATGATCTAAGATACATAGGTGCTTTTGTAATTACATCCATGGTGTGATATTTCTGAATTCTGCCTCTGGATGCATTCAGATGGTGGCTTCTGATGCAGCGAAACCGATGCTGAACCCGAACGAGATGCAGCTCAGCTCCTCATCGTTATCACCCAGCATCTTCATGGTGATGGTGTAAGAGCCCTGAAGAAGAAGCAAGTGTCATCAAGCATGAACCGAAGTAAGATGATCACAAAACACAATTTGGTATTAGCAGTGGTATTTGAGCTGAATTTATCGTGTAAGAGCATACATTTCAGACTTAGAAGCGAAATTTCGGACTTACTGGTGGAGTGTATGATGGCAGGGTTTGCTGATGAGCTACCAAGAAGTCACCACTTGCCGGGCAGGAAGTCACATCACAGAGCTCACGAGTTTCCGAGTGGACATAGAAGAAGAAGTATTTCACATCAATAACCAGCTTCCCTTTACCGATAGTTTTATCTGCAGCAGGTCATCGAGATTCATTATAAATTAATTGTCAGTATGGCAGAAAGAAATAAACAATTCTTGTGATCCTAAACTAGATTCCTGAGTCCTGACAAGCATAATATATATACTAAGGATTGGATCTAGAAACCATCAGGGTTTATAATGAAATGTACTCATAGCTACATTCGACTCACTCATATGGTAAAACAAATCACTAAGGTTGTTTTTTTAGATTTGGTTGAAAGAAAAAGGTCACGGGTTTTGCCAACTGTGATGCTACACCACATGCAAAATGGCCTCACATACATCTATCACCTACCTATAAGGCTATAACTTGCAAGGTTTTAAGCACTACGTTTCAAGAAAAAGGAAAAACTAAAAAAAAAATTGGGTACAGTGGGCATGACTGAGTCTGAGGCACAGTGCCATTTCCAATGCTTTGGATGCTTCACCCTTTTTTCTAACAAAAAGTTTTGGATGGTTCACTTACAGAGGTGCCTATTCCTACCATGACAGTATACTGATGCGGAAACTAATGATGCAATAAGATGGACTCTGCTTTGGTGTCCCAAAGGACAAATTACTAAATGATCATTGTCACCACAACGTGCATACACTGAATTTAATCATGTCCATACATAATTTGCTATGCCCTGTAAAAAATAGGGTAGGCTGCAGGCAACATGGAGATGACTCAATCTGGTGGATTTACTGATCAAGCCCACAGATTTTGAATATTAGAAAAAGCACTGCTTGCTATTCAGTTTTAGCTTCCTTTTACATAATAATAGGCAAATGGATGCTGCTTCTCAGGTGTAATTAAGCCGATAAAGATTCTTATTAGTCAACTTCCTTAAATGTACACAATTATAGATTTATTGTGCAGATATGTTAAATGCGCATTATACAGAAAGTTAAGAACCAAAACATTAATTCAAAAAAAAAAGACAGGAACTAAAGTTCCCTTATTTACTCGCCTACATGAACTGATAAGCAGAAAATGTCAAAGGCATGATTTGTCCTACTAACAGGATGCACACTATACACATGATTGCATCATCTTCAGAACCATACTCCTGTTTTTCTGGCAACGCCAGCGACCCAGACCGCTTCTCATAGGCAAGCAGGGGAAATGAGCCAGCAGTCCTGCCTCTAAAATATATGCTACCTAACCTAGAGAAGGCCATTCATAACATAAAAGGTGGTATGACAATCTTCAAAAAATGTTTTCATTATGGCTGAGTACTTGACTGGCCCTAAATTCCTAAGCCGTTACATAGGGAAAGTGATATTTCTGATAAAGGCTTACAAGAAATCAATGCCATGTTACGCCTAAATCTCTAGGTTGTGATCAGCAAATCACAAATCAACTAGGGCTCTGCAGCGTTCTACATGGCCATTACCGCCAAACATAAATACTACAGGGCGAGCATAATAAGGAGCGCACTTGCGAACAGCGCCACCGATGTCTAAAGAATTTACTAAACATAACTGCAATTTCTCTCAACCACTAAATTAAACTCTAATTGTACACACCCTAACACCTCTAAAAGGAGACTCTCCATGGCACGCACTGTCACTTGCTGTTAATACACCATAGGCATATAGCTACACAGTGTAGACTCATCCCCAAACAAAACTGCAAAACACAAGCCATCAATCGCCACAGATAATAGTGTATCTGCGTATGCCAATCCTAACCTCACCGTACAATCACAAGAAAATTCTGGTCAGCATTCAGCAGCAAGCAAAATTATTATTCATCTTTTTTTCCTTCTCCAGGCCAAACAGCAAGCGAAATTCTACCACCACCTTAAAATTCCACTAGTACAGAGCTTAATTCTCGCAATTATACTGCCAATTGACTTCAGAGCCGGTGCTAGTACACTAAAATTCATGGCGGAACAAGTACCCCAACTGCATCACGAAGAGTAATATTTGCAAAAGGGGGAAACGGGAGAGGTTGGTTTATTATACCAGTGGAAGCGGAGATCTTGAAGGTTGCGGGCTCGCCGCGGGCGACCGGATCGGGCACGATCTCCACGCCGCTCACCTTCACCGGGTACTTCTTGCCCTTATCTGCACGCAAAAGCAACAGCAACATCATCAAGAACCCCAAATCATCCAATCTTCGCGTAACCTTCGCCCCCTCAGAACCGCGGAAGAAAGGGGGTTTTGGGGGGGCGAGCGGGAGGGACACTCACTGCAGTACTCGACGTCGGTGACGGCGGAGGCGACGGCCGCGGCGGCGGCGAGGAGGGCGAGGAGGAGGAGGAGGCTCTGCTTGGTCGCCATGGCTGGGTTCGAGTTCGAGGACTGGATTGTGAGAGAAGAAATCTTTCGGGGGTGTAATTTATAAAAATCCAGGAGTCGTGAGGAAGAAAGGGATCTGTTCGGTTTCTTCGCGTTCGCTTTTGACTTTCTGTTTAAAGGATTAGATTATTTCGCGGGGTGAGACTGACGTGTGGGCCCGGGGATCTAACAGTCTCGGATAATGACGATTAGGTGTTGGTGGTTAGCGATGAGACCGGTGGCTGTGGACTCTTTGGTTTTTGACTTTTGAGCTGGAAATTAATCCACGTCCAAATCGGGATATAAAAGCTGCAAAATTTTAAACTTTTTTCCTTTTAGAAATACGGCTGAAATGCCGGTGCTCACGACACACGCACACTTACACCTACGCGCACACACGTACATCCTACACTATATACATCTCCGTAAAATTAGGCTGATATATACGTGTCTGTTATCAAGAGATATGTCATCTCTTACTGAAAAAATAATTAGTCGTAAATGCGAATAACTATGTTAAATCTAGAACTTAAATAACTTAAATTCATATAGGCTAGTTATATATATGATTGTTATATCACATGAAATTTGACATTGAGAAACACTAACTTTCTTGTATGACTATAATTTGGGTGTGAAAAATTTGAAACGAACCTTACGGCCCCCTTTGATTCAAAGGAAATTCATAGGAATTTTAAAGGATTTCATTCCTATAGGATTTTTCCCTATATAGCTCTTTGAATCAAAGGAATGAATCCTATAAAATTCCTATGAAATACCTTTTCCCATGTAAGTTTTGGAGGAAATTTAACATGAGGTTCTACCTCATGTTAAGAATCCTTTGAATCTTTATCTCTCCTCAAATTCCTATGTTTTTCCTGTGGCTCAATCAAACGGTTATTCCTATGTTTTTTTTGTTTTGTAATCCTCTGTTTCACACTTATTCCTGTTAGAATCATATGTTTTTCCTATTTCTCTATTTTTTTCATTCCTGTGATTCAAAGGGGCCCTACGTGTAAGGCGCAAAAAATATGGAGGATTGTGTAAGCTATATTAGGAGAACTTGCGTAAACGATACATATTAAACGGCTAATTATTCTCGCACCCAACATCTCATGATCGAATAAGTACCTACATAATAATTAAAAGAAGAGTAAATTGTATTAGCAGTACACGAACTTCTTGTTAAGTAGGTGCAATCTAGTGCACTAACTTGTAAAATGCTCGTTATGTTACATGAACTTGTCCGGTGCGTTTGGACCAAGGCTAAAAGAACACTATATGGCTAATCCTGTTGATTTAGGTACTAGTTAGGATAAACACATATCTGAGAAGATTTATATTTAGACATACACCTCTTCAATGAAAAGATAAAATGAGATATAGTGATAGCATAGACATATATGAAAAGGGTAAGAAATATATGAAATTCCTCATTTATAAATATAGCACATCTTATGTATACTCACTATACATATGCACGTCACATTCTAATCAACATTAGCGTGGTAAAATTAACCTTGTCAAGCCATTGTGGTCCTGGTTTGCACGAATTAGACAAGTTCGTGCACCAAACTAGTATTTTATAAGTTTATGTACTGAATTAATCCCACCTAACAAGTTTGTGTATCACTAATGCAATTTACTCTTAAAAGAATTGCATCCCAATACATATGTATATGTATACTAGATGATTCCTTACGTGTTGCTGCGGGAAGTGGTATACTCCAACTTATGTTTGCAAATTTGATGATAAGAATCTTAGAAGGTATTGGGTATATATAAAAATGCTAGCTATAATTCTAGTCAAAACATGAAACCTCCACCATCGGATGGTTCAGAGGTCTTTTTTCTTCCCATCGGTCCAGCGTGAAACCTCCACCATGCCCTGCACTATACATCTCACATTTGCTGTGTGTATTAAAACGAGACAATCCATTAGTGATGTGCACTAGGGTTCCTGATCTTCTGAAAGGTTCTGATAAACAATGATTTGGACGGAGTCGCGACACAAATCGATCCGGCTTCTTGAACGCGCACGCTCTTGAGCCCCGCAATCGCAGCACCACGTCTCCTCTGGTTATCACCCGTGTCGAAACGCGGATGACCTCGCCGAGAAGGCTAATTCCTGTTTGCCAATCGAAGAACACAAACAAGAACGAGATAGAAAAACAACCAAAATTGCAGATGAATGATTAAGCTCACGAGTTGGGGTCTTACAAACCGATCTAGCGGCGAAACTGTTCTTGATAGATTAATCTAAGCAAAACCCAAAAACCTAAAGACGGCGGCGGGTACTGATATATAGAGTTTAGGGTCGTGCAAACCCCTCTTGACGTAACCCTAATGGGTTCCAACACGATACACGGGCCAAAAGCCCAAATACGGTGACGCAGCACCGGAACAGATTCTGGATGTCAACTTGTTCGGTCAATTCCCGTTGACTCGGAAAGAATTTGGACGTGGGACCAAAACCATTGGAAAGGTTATCTTCTTAGCTTTTCATCCATATAAAGAACGCCCCAATCCGAGCACGTATGCGACCTGGGCGTCCATTTTAGTGCAGACTGGTCCTGGACTCCGAATTACACCCGACGTCGACTTGGTTTAGGCCTCCACCTTGACTTGGACGTCCCCGATGATCCTCCATGGCTCTAAGTCCTTCTCCAAGTGTCTCCTTGTCCCCTCCATTGTTCCTAATCACAATATAATTATTAGGTAGCAATCTATTCTTGAATTCATACAAAGAAGAACATAGGAATGAACTCACCTCTAAATTTAATTGTCGCGCACGAGCTCTTGTTATCGGTCCTTGAATGACCGTTGGAGGATTGTTACGTGTATCCGAGACAGTGATGTCCGCATCAATTAGCGCTTGGTTAATCGAATATTAATTGTTGTAAACTTGAAAATGATTTATTTGATTTCTTTACGCTTTTTTATATAGAAAACTTTTATATAAAACACATCGTTTAGCATATTGAAAAACGTGTCAGTAACGGAAAAACTACTGAGTTGCCCTCCCCTACCACTTAAATGAACGGGACCTTAGTAGCCGCGCCCCGCCCCTGTTGAAGTCTTCATTCGTTTTCCTCCAGCCGCATTTCTTGCTCCCCAAATAGGCCAAATCACAGCTGATACTCCAACTGCAAATCAGGTTTCCCGTCTTCATATCAAATTGCATTAACCATCCACCAAAAAAAAATTGCACTTCATATGAGAGTTTTGCCATACGACACATTTCAAAAAAGTATGGTCAATGGTTTCATCTTCAACACATAATTGAAACTTCTTTTCCTTTACAACTTCTCTTAAGCAAATTATCCTTTCTCAAGATACTACTCCTTAAGAGGAACCTGGTAAAAACTTCGATTTTTAGAGGAATTTTCAACTTCAAAAGTCTTTAAGAAGTGTAAGGGACTCATTGCAATTTCAGAGCTTTATAAAAGGATTTGACGGTGAAGACACCATCCATTGTCGATTTCCAAAAATCAGATTATCCTTTTGGTTAGTCAGAGCACCATTACCAGAGATATTGCTGGGTATCACGAAGGTAGATAGATCAGAGATACTGTCAGGGTGGGTATCAACATGATACTGTGGGACGGTCATGCTCTCCAATATTCCTGGCCAGTCGATAGATCACTGTAGTGATATGCCTTAGAATCAAATATATGCTTGCATACATGGAAAGCATCTCTCACGTCCTTCAGTGGACACTGCTTCCCTTATTGAAAATGATTGTAGTTGTGTCATAAATTTGTTGCTATCAAGAAGGTAGAAAGATCACGGCAAGCTTCCTTTTTTATAGCAAGGTTTACAAAACCGTGTGGCGGTTATAAGGTAATCACACTATGTCTCGTGGTTACCGCGGGGTTCGGTAACCGCGTCGAAAACGATAGGAGGAACCCTACTTCATAGACAAAGTTGCCCATGACGGAAATAAGATAATTGAGTTGAGAAAAGTTCATTGATTATATAATACTAGTATAAGCAACAAAGTTAGCAATATAAGTGTAAAAATATTTTTTTTCAAATATATAAAAATATAAGTGTAGTAGAACAAATCATAACCAAGTAAACGATAATTATATTTTTTTAATAAAATGAATAGTAAAACGTCTTCAAAAGTTATGGGCATGAAAAAAAAACAAAGGAAGAAGATGGCAACTGAGAAACCAAAGTAATGAACTACCCAAGCGTGCAGGATTAATTTCACACAATGTACTGGTACTACGCACTGTCACATGCTGCCGAGTACTCGTGTACAGTATTTATTAGTCGTACGTGAGGGTTTTTGCACAGATCGAGTATATATACACGTACATTTTCTTTTGGAGTGTAGCCACCTGCGTATTGCGTTGGATCGTGCGGCACGTGGGGTGTCGCGCAGCACACGTTCGTACGTGCGCCACGCGCGCCCACCACACGTGCCAAGGACGCCACAGTGCCACACTACTACAACTAGACTAGATCTCTGCGTTAACCAAGAGATAAAAAAAAATTGTGTTTGACTTGCAGGTGATTAATTAATTGATCTGTTGTTGCTCGATCAAAATGTCCGGAGAATATATGCGTCAATCAATCTGAATATTTGATCAAAATGGCTAAATGGCTAGCGAATGATTTTTATGTTAAAATCATGCAGATTACTGACATTGAGATTTACTTCACGATTGTGCTCCGGTAACCTTAGCTCTTCCCCTCCAGCTCCGGCAACACCTTCTCCAACTCTAGCGACCCCGACGAAAACAGTAGAATGGTTTAGGGTCCTGGGCTAGGATGGGGGTGGGGGAGGGGGAAGAGGGGGGAATCGCTGGGTTTAGAGGGATGTCCATGAGAGGCGCCGGCTCGGCGGTGGGCGGTGGACACAGACGGGCAGCGAGGTGTCGGCGGTGGCACCAAAGCCGCGGAGATAGAGGAGGGCGGTGGGCCTACGTTCGTGGCGGGGTAAACGGCTAGGAGACGGTGGATCCGACTGTTAGTGTTTAGGAGGCGGTGGCTAGTGGTGGCGGATCTCTCTCTACCAACTTTATTTTCGTAGTTTAATCTTAGCAATCTTTTCAGTCTTTTCCTTTTCTTTTTCCTTCGGCAATGCTATTTTTAACCTTTTTGTTGTGTAACTTAAACTCTACTTTCTTCTAATATTTTAGCGTTAACTCTTTTGCGTGTTCGCGAAAAAAAGCTACTACCATTAACATTTTAAACCATCTCCCTACCCCTCTATTTTCATTTACTTATCATCATTAATCATTTCTGCTACGATTTTGATTATTAGGAAATTTTAAATAAACGGAATGTTTAGGATACAATATGGTACTTTAATTAATAGTATGGCATACCTTTTAAGTATTTATTTTTTTTTTAAAAAAAAAAGATGAGGGATCAAACGGCAGGGTAATTTTGCACCGAACAACTGAATTGACAAAAGAAAACCAAACATTTTTTGCAAGCAGCCAAGTGTACATGCATCTCCCTTTCTTCTCTTCTCTTCTTTTGGGAGGATCACTTGAGATGAAAGGCTCTGAAAACAATGTCACATCTGCAAATCCTGGCTGAAACTGAAAGCAAGGAAGCATGACACTTCTGCAATTTCTCCAATGTTTCTCTCTCTCTTTTTTTCCATCCCCCCCCCCCCCTTTTTTTTCTCTTCCTGTGTCCAAGATTGTTGGAATATCCCCTTCCCATGATGTGAAAAGATTCCCAGCAGCATAAAAGTGAAAAAAGGTAAAAAAGAAAAAAAAAAGAAATCCAAGAGCTGGCACATTTGGATGTGGTTACTCAATGGCTGGATAAAAATGTCAACAGTGTTAGTGCTTTCCCTCAGGTTGGGCAAGGAAAAAGAGATTAACCCAAACAGTTTAATACCTTCCTGACAGATAACTAATCTAACAAGTATTTCCATGCAACTAAACAAGAATTCTGATCGGCCATCTTTCAGAAAAGAACAGCACTGGCCCTAGTTCAGGGCTTTATGCTGGAAGTAAGGAGGCCAACACAAATTCTTTTCATTATAATGAGAAATACTAACGTGTAGTTATTATTTTATCTTTAATAGATTGATAAAAGGTGATAATATAACTAATCGTACTTAAACGACAACTTTAAATTAGAGAAACGGCGAGGGTAACAACTTTGAAGAGAGGGACCCTCCCAAAAGCCACGGAATCATCACTCACACTGTAACACAATGTAAAATATCAATCTCCGTCCACAAATATAAGAAAACCCTGACAGTTTAGCAGAGTTCTAGATTGAGCTAAAACTATCTGATTAAGAAATATTACGTCTAGCGGTGCAACTACAGCAATAAATAAAATGAACTGGAAAATTGGTACTTCTTCGATAACCATCGTACCGATAATCAGATATTCTAAACTCTGTGTATAAATCCCTTATATTTGTGAACGGAGTAGACGAAGCTGGGGGAACCAAAAGCAGGCTAGGCTGGAAGGGGACCGACACAAAGGCAACAACAAACAACAACAATCTCAAGCACAGTACTGTAGCATACTCGATTACCAGTAATCTTGGCATTTGGCGACGCCATCAATCGTCCGTAGGTTTTCTGTACCTGCATGACTCCATCAACAAGGCAAGTAGCAGCAGCAGCAGCAGCAGCAAGAAGAAGCCAATCCTGCAGCTGCAGGCTGCAGGCAACCATACTGCCAAACAGTATTTCATCCTTCCATCCACTCGTCAGTCTGTCTGTCTGTCAGTCAGTCGGTTGGTCAGTCACTGGCTGCTGCAATCCAATCCCCCATTGGAGGTGACGAGTGTGCTCTTGCGCCGGCGCCGACGAGGATGGGCTGCCTGAGCCGGCATCAGCTCTGCCTCGGCGGCAACCGTACGGCCCTCTTCTTCTTCTCCTCTTCTTTGTAGCTGCTTTCTGAAGAAATATTTGGTTCTTGATTTGATGCCTTGTGGCCATTCTTGCCTTTGGTTTTGTTGCAGTAATGCATTAGTTTTCTTGAGATTTTTCTCTTTTTTGTTCTTTTGGAACCAGTTGTTTAAAGCAAGGGAATTTTGGTGATATCATTTGGTTTCTTCAGTCTTTTGCGCACACCCTGCAGAAGAATTTTCCACATTTTCAGCCTGAATTTTCGCTGAATTTTCTCATATTTTTCTTGGCAGGTGGGTTGCCATTCCTAAGGAAATTCAAGCACAAGGAGATCGAGGCGGCGACGAACGGGTTCAGCGCGATCCTGGAGGCCGGCCCCGGCGGCCGCGCGGCGTACAGGGCCCGGTTCGCCGACGGCCTCGTCGCGACGGTGCGGCGAGCCGGCGGCGACGGCGACCAGGACAGAGAGGCCTTCTACCGCGAGCTGCAGCTGCTCGCCCGCCTCAACCACCGCCACATCGTCAGGCTCCATGGCTACTCTGACGGCCACTCCAGGTGAGGTTCAGTTCATCACTGTCCTGAATTCATCTGAATCTTTTTGTTTTTCGTTTGTTTGTTTGGTGTTGAATTGTTGGTTACAGTGTTTGTTAATTTTTTCTGTTTGATGTTTCAGGTTTCTGGTGTTCGACCAGATGGAGAACAGGAGCCTGAAAGAATGTCTCCATGGTAAATTTGCTTGCGCATTTTGTGGCAGAATTCTTCAGAAATTGTGTGGTTTTGTCAGTCAAGTTTGTGATGATGGTTAATTTCTTGGCAGATCCTCTCAGGACGCCTCTGAACTGGAGGACCAGGTTGCAGGTCGCCATAGATGTTGCAGCAGCATTGGTACTATAAATCTCCATACTACATTGCTCTCAACATGTTACACAAACTGGCAGGAAAATGCAATTTAAAGTCATCTGATGCCAGATTTGGTTTCTGAACTTGTATAGTGAGTGACATCACATCACATTGTTCTTTGTTGTGTGGTGATGCAGGAATACCTGTACTACTTCTGTGATCCTCCGGTGTTCCATGTGTCGGTCAACTCAAGCAATGTGATGATGGATGCCAATTTTGTCGCAAAGGTAAGATTCACAGTAACCATTGTTCATACATGTCTGAAGCACATCGATCGACCAACTGAAGCTTGTACCATTTTCAGTTATCAGATATCAGTGTCATCGGTTACGACCCGAAACGAACGGTGGAATCCAATGCTGCATCTTTTGAAGGTCTAGTTACCACCCAAACAACAGAAACAACTCCAGATTTGTCTCTTCTATATCACCTTGTGTGGAACATTGGCAGGAACTGACACTGACAGCATTCCATATATGTGATCTTCAGATGAAATTCAGCAGAGGAGAAGGGACCTGGTGTTCCAGTATGGTGTGCTGATCCTTGAGCTAGTGACCGGGCAATCGCCGGGCGGCGAAGGCGAGCTCGTGCAGTGGGTGCAGGAGCCTGGATTTGCCTGCACAATGTACAAAATGGTAGATGCAGATCTTGGCAATATCTATGACTCCAAGGAGCTTCGGAACCTTGTGATCATTGCTAGGTTGTGCACAAGGCCTGGAAATGATGCAATGGTTTCGATTCCGCTCATTCTTCGGTATTTGCAAGGGAAGGTGGCAAATCTTGGGTGTGAAAGTGAAAACATTTGTGAATTATCTGTGTAGGGAGCAGTTAAAATTGCTCCATCTTGATCTCTGAAATAATCTTACTTTCTCTGTCTCCTTTACTTGTAGAGAGAATTTTCTTCTTGTGTATCATTAGCATTATTTTTCATGTCCATAGAGGAATTACAGCAAATGAAATTTGTGTATGTTGAATATGAACATGGCATGGAAATTTCTGATGTGAACTCAATAGACAATACATTCAAAAATGCTGGTACTTATCTAGTGAAAATGCTTGTGAATCTGGGATTCAGGACAAATTCAATGCATTCTGTATCACAGGGGAGATTTGTACATCCAGTATATTGATTGACTTCCTGGTTCCTGTTCCTGTTCTCAATCAATTCACATCCAAGGACAGACACTCAAAATTTATTTTGAGCTGTACAGCATGCGAAGAATGTTCTTACCCTCAATTAATCCCTTTTTATTCTATTACTGTTCAGACCATTTGTGTCAACTTTTGAGGAAATTTTGTTGAAACTCATCCAACATTTATATGTACAAAGTAGTACAAAAATATAGAATTAGGTGGTGTTATTTTCTCCTGAAGATGAAGATGAAGATTAAGATTAAGTTTTTAACGCAAAACGAGGTGGTATTAGCGTATGATTGATTGAGTTTTAATTATTACAAACTTGAAAATAGATTAATATGATATTTTAGAGCAACTTTCATATAGAAAATTTTCGCACGAAACGAACCGTTTAACAGTTTGAAAAGCGTACCATAAAAATCTTAATCTTTATCTAACTCTAGTCGTCAAATTCCCAAATGAACAAATTTACATCCGTGGAAACAAACAAATTTGCTTCATTTTTTGTCTACTTCTAGTGATATTTTCTGATGTATTACAAACGAAAAAAAGAAAAGAAAAATAAACAGAGAGCATCAGACCAAGAACACACGGCTCACCTGATGACGTCACGTCACGACGGCCTGACGAGAGCCAGCGGCGTCACCTCGGCGAGCGGCGTCGGCATGGGGCTCGGCAGCGGCGACGTCCGGCAGACGGGGCACGTCGGCCGCTGCCGGAGCCACGGGTCCACGCACTCGCGGTGGAACAGGTGGCCGCAGTCCGGCAGCGCGCGGAGCACGTCGCCGTCGCCGTAGTTCTCCAGGCACACGGGGCAGCACGTCTGCGTCGCCGCCGCGCCGCCGCGAGCCTTCCTCGCCTCGCCGTAGACCACCTCCGGGAACGCCTCCAGCGTCGCGTCGTCGATGCCGGTGCCGGTCTCGACGTCGCCGTCGTCGCGTGGTCGAGGCGGAGATGGCGGGCGGCCGGCGGCGGCGGCGGCCACCGGCATGGACGTGCGGCTGCAGAAGTAGATGGCGAGCGCGACGGTGGAGACGACGAGGAGCACGCCGACGGAGGCGCCGACGCCGTAGCCGAACCCGCCGATGCCACCCGACCCAAATATACTCCCGCCGCCGCCGCCGCCATCGCCGCCACCCGGCGATGGGCTCCCCGCGCTCATTGCCTAGCTAACGCAAGCAAGCAAGCAAGCAAGCAAGCTCTAGCTGAGGTCGACCATGGTGAGGCAGCAAGAAGCAAGCTATGGTCTCCAATGGAGGAGGAGAAGGAAACGGAGACGCAGGTGGTAGCGTGGCGTGTTTAGTTGCAGCTCAAGGTCAATGAGTTGGATTAATTGCTTACTTAATTAATTAATTAATTACGAATGTGCAAGAAAAATAAATAATTACGACTGTTTGCTAGCTTGGGTTGGATTCAATTGTTTGTCTGTACTTAATATCTAGGATCTTGAATTCTAGATGTGGCTAGATTTCTGCTTAGTTGTGTGCTAACACGCCAGGTTAATTAAGTTTTGACATGTTTTTGTTCGTTTCTTTCCATGTCTTTTCTCTAACCCTGACGACAACATATGTGTAGAAGTCCATAAGGTCTTCTAGGTGGTTCCTTGTGATTAGCTACAGTCATCGGATTAACATTCATCATTTTTAGTTGGTACCAACTTGGTTGCGGGGTATATACGCCAATGTTTAGCAAGATTCCAATTACTATACCTCCGTCCCAAATTAAAATTTCATCTTAAAATAGTCATCACTATACACATCACTATACAGTACCATATGTCCCATCATTGACCTCTCATTTAAATATATTTTTCTACTTTATTCTCATTCACCCTCCTACTTTCAATCATATACTCTTATTTTGTTTTTTAATATATGGCGTTGCTGATTTTCTATGCTATAGTTACCATTTGTTTTATTTAAAAGATTTATGTAATTATTATTTATTTTATTGTGATTTGATTTATCGTCAAATGTTTTTAAGCGTGACTTAAAATTTTTATATTTATATAAAAAATTTAAATAAAATGAATAGTTAAATATTTGTTAAAAAGTCAATGACTTCATATATTAAAAAACATATATAATATTATTTAATGAGAGGTACTATTTTTAAAGTGCTATAATTCTCTCTACTTAAACTTTAATTTATACTAAACAACCTAGAACAACATAGAATGGCAAATACTCCCTCCATCTCTAAATATTTGACGCCGTTGGCTTTTTAATATGTTTGACCGTTCGTCTTATTTAAAAACTTTTGTGAATATTATTCAAAGACTTTAACTTTAGTAGTATATTTAACCATGAATCAAATGATAAGAAAATAATTAATAATTACTTATTTTTTTTAATAAAATAAACGATCAAATATGTTTAAAAAGGTATTTAGGGACTGAGCGAGTATAGCGGAGGTAAGAATTCTTAGGCATGGTCACTCAGAGACTAATTTCAGGGGCTGAGCTAGCCTTATGATCAAAGTCTGTTACTTCCTCCATTTTACAATGTAAATCATTCTAACATTTTCCACATTCATATTGCTATTAATGAATTTACATAAATATATATGTTTAGATTTATTAACATTACTATAAATGTGAGAAATGCTAGAATGATTTACATTGTGAAACGGAGGGAGTACATCATTAGTTAGCACTCGTTATTTACATGTCAATGGAAATATTTGGAAAAAAATTAACTCGGAGAGGAAGGCGAGAAAGAAAAGAAAAAAAAAAAGAAGAAGAGTTGCCGGCGCGAGACCAGACGAAGCCATCCGATCCCCACCCTTCCTCCCCTCCCACCTCATCAGCGCTGGCGGCGGCGGCGGCGGCGGCGGCGTCCCCTGGATCCCTCGGCGGAGGCAGCGGCAGCGGCGGCGGCGGCGGTAGATCAATCGCATTTGTCTCGCTAAATCCGGCCCGCGCCGCCCGTCGCGTCGCGGTAGGTGGGTAGGGGGAGGTGTGTCGCGTCGCGTCGCGTGGTAGCTGCGCTCCCTTCCCGCATCCGCGGTGCCTGTGCGTGCCCTCCACACGATCCCCCCCTCCCGTCGTGTTCGTCCGACCGTCCGGCAGATCGGCGAGGTGAGCTCTCTCTCTTCGTCGTTTCCATCTCCTCCCCCATCGTTGAATGAATTAATCCGCCTCTCTTAAGGCTTTTAGGGTTTCGTTAGCTTCCACTATCGATCATCCACCCCGCCCCGCTCGATCGCGCGGCGGCATGGGGTTTAATTTGCTCTTGGTTCCTCTACTTTTGGTTTGGTGCGAGTGGTGTGGTGTGGGTGTGGTGGGTTTAGGTGGATCTGGCGGTGATCGCTGTGGACGGGATCTTTAGCCTCCTCGTCGAGACGGATTGACCCCAATTCTGTCTGATACAATCGACTGGACTTGGTGTCCAATTTGTGTGTTAGTCATTGGTTTCGGTCTGCTTCCCCTCCCAGTTACTCCACCCAATTCTTCAGAATTGGGTGGTGGCCTGGTGTGCAAAAAGTGCATCAGACAAAATTTGTATGGCACACGCCCCATTCAATTAGTTTTTGTGCGTTTGCTCTAGTTGTGAAAATGGAATGCTGCCCCACTTTGTGGGGAATGAAAGATGATTGCTGTATTGGCGCTTGCAAACCAATCCTAGTGCTTTGTAGTTGTGCGTTTGCTCTAGTTGCGCCGTTAAGGCCTGGGTGAAAATGGAATGCCGCCCCACTTTGTGGGGATTGAACGAAGGTTGCTGTATTGGCGCGAGCAAACTGATCCTAGTTCTTTCTAGTTGTTGAGGTCCATGAGTCCTCATGAACCAAGTCGTCAGGTCCGTGAGGAATCTGTGAGGTGAAAGATAACCGAGACGACTTTGGTCAATGTCTTATCATGTAATCTTGTCTAACTAGTACTCGTAACTACAATGATGCCATGGGCCAATAACAGCTACTAGAACACACAAGACAACAGAATCTATCCACAATAGGAATATACGGCGCGACCAACTCCTGAGTTAGCACAAATCATTCCTAAAAGTGCACATCATGTTTCAGCCCTTTATGGTAACATCTTGACCTTCACTGAGCCCGACCAACTCTGAGTTAGCACAAATCGTTCCTAAAAGTGCACATCATGTTTCAGCCATTTATGGCAAAATCTTGACCTTCAATGAGCCATTTCTCTAAGACCCGTCTTCTTGGCTCTGCAACCAAGTGGCGGCCTTGACCATACAAGAAGTTGGGTGTCGCTTGGTGCGCCGTTGGCCACCAACGTAGATATACAATGTCATGCATGTATTAGCAGGGGCAATGCTGCAATGGCAGCATCTCGTTTTTTCCCAGGATGTACTTATATAGCTTGACTTTGTAAGAGGTTTTATTCCTTCTGATGCATAATATGGTTATGCACTGTTTCTCTGCCCTTTTAGAAAATATAGTTTGTTAAAAGGTATGTGTGCTGTTTTGAGTAGAACAAAAATGATTGATCTGGCATGGCACTAAGTGTGTTCTGTTATATTTCTCTCTTTGTAAAGCAAACACTCCTGAAAGTACTATACTCTATTGGCCTTGTAATTCATTTAGGGTACTGTAGAATCACAGAACTAACTAAATTAATGGCCTCTATGTCTCAATGCATTGCTTGAACTTACTAGGCTTGTCTTTTGCTCTCACATGCGCATACATGCTGTTTGTTCGAAGGTGATCTGAGTATGTTCAATTATCATGACGATATTATTTATTTCCTCATGCTCAAGTCTGTTGCTTTCACAATCCTCATTTATGCTTTATTGAACTACATTTACCATAATATGATTTATGTTCATTTGGCATGGTTTCTCCAGGATGGAAATGTTCTTCAGCAGCTTTCTTAATGAATCGGCATCATCAGAGAACCTCTTTGGTCATCCAAATGTCGAGAGATGCCCATTCCTGAGAAACATCAATGGAGCTACAACATATTCATTTTCTTCTGCTTTGCCAGTAGCTGTAAGATCTTCTTTACATGACCTCTGGTGATGACAATATCAATATCAAAAGTGCATTGGATCCTTAATCTGTGCTATTGTGCAGGCCCGAGGAGGAAATGGTCCAATTTTTGAGGACGGACCAGGCTTTGATTCAGCATTTAAACTTTTCCATGGATGGGATGGAATAGTTCCGCTTTCAGGAAAGTCATATTTACCTGATGAGAGCAACAGTGAGAGCATTGATGCCAATCCTGAACCTGCTCTGCTGTTTAACCCATTGGCTGCTAGAGCTGCCACAATAAGTCTATCTGCATTTGGGCCATTTGGTTTTAACTTCTTTAATGGCAAGGGGAAAAGGCAGAACAAGAAGCCCAACAATCTAAATCAGTCAAACAAGAAGCCCAGCAATCCGAACCAGAATTCCATGAAAGTTTGTCCTCATTCCTTCCTTTTATTTTGTTTCTTTTTTCTTATGGGGCTATGTTTGTGAAATCCTATCTGGTTTCTCGCAATCAAGTCCTAATAACAATGCAAGCCTCAATTATCTATCTTAATTTTGTCTATTATTCAAAGTAAGAATGTTCCCTACTAACTTTTTTACCATTTTGTTATAACGAACTGATCCAGAATTTGTTCAGTTGAAGTTAATGATTGTGACTTTGGTTCACAAGTAGGCATTTTGGCATTTCCTTGGATGTTTGGCTATATGTTACTTTTCATGTATCCAAGTGCTAATGTTCTTGATCGGACAGCCATAGTTGCATAGCTAGGATTTTCATCAATCCGATCAGTTTTCTCATGTTACGTTTTGAACCATTTTCAGCAGAAAGGAGGTAACTCATCATCGCACGAGGCAATGAGCAACGAATGGATGGAAAATGGGCAGTGCCCACTTGCCCGGTCTTACCGAGCAATGAGTGGCATTCTGCCCCTTGTTGCAAAGGCTTTACAACCACCAGCAGGTGTGAAGCTGAAGTGCCCGCCTGCTGTGGTCGCTATACGTGCAGCCCTTGCACGGACTGAACTTGTGAAGTCTCTCCGTCCCCAGCCCCTGCCTGCAAAGATGGTAGCCATTGCGTTGCTTGGAATGGCAGCAAACATCCCTCTCGGGGTGTGGCGTGAGCACACCAAGAAATTCTCCCCGCAGTGGTTTGCAGCTGTCCATGCCGCTGTTCCATTCATCGGAATGCTGAGGAAATCTGTGAACATGCCCAAGACTGCCATGGCATTCACCATAGCAGCCTCCATTATTGGCCAGACAATCGGGTCGAGGGCCGAGCGCATTCGTCTGAAGGCATTGGCTGCAAAGGGCGACGCCGATTCCACCACCGTGGCTGACATGTATCCAAACAAGTCTGGCAATTGCAGTGACACTGAGGGCAAGGCATGGGATCCGCTCGCGATGAAGATGGCTGGACGGGCTTCTGGTGGCGTTGCTGCACCAACACCAAGCATGTGTTTCTGATTGTTCATTGCTTTTGAAAATTTGTGTCTATACCAGTATCTCTGTATGTTTGAGAGTTGATATTGAGTCTATTTTTATCTTGTGATGTAATTGCCTTTCCTTGCCCCTCAGAAGTATCCGTTTGTTTGTGGGGTGAGGCAAGTGGAATAAGAGTGCTGCAGTTCTGCAGTTAAGCTTGCCAGTTCTGCAGTTCATGCATCTGTAATTTGATGCTGCAGGATTTCTGCTATTTTACCAATCATCATTGTACTGTGTGTAACCTGTTGGATGAACGCTTGTTAGCTGTTCTGGTGAGTGACCCTGTTTGAATTTTATTATTGAGAGGATTATCACTGTTTATTATTATGTACTTAATTATACATATAAATTAAATATTTTTAGAAATAAACTTGACAAATATCTTAAAACAAATGGGTTAAGTAATGCAGTATAAGTCTTTTTTTAGAAAACACATTTTTTAATCCTAGAGCAAATAATTCGATAAATAAACTAACATTTCAATAATCTGATAAATACGCTGAAAAAAATATGGCTTGGACGTTGGCTATACAGCACAGTGCCCACACAGATCAACAGCCAGACTGGGTCCTACCGGCAGTGAGAGGGAGAGAGAGCAGCCTGCCAAGTGGGGCCCAGATGCATAGAGAGGTGTATGAAAGCGAGATTAACCGGAGGAGCAGCACGGACTCCCGCCATTTCCTTTTTACCGCCATTTTTCTTGGCGCCAAGCCTGGCTTTCCCGCTACGCGCTCTTATCCCTCCTATGAACTCCCCGATGTTTTCCTACGGTAAGTTGAGAAATACCAGGGTCTTTCGGCTAGCTCGATCCACAAGGTGGTGGGCTAGACGATCTGAGTTCGAAGCCTCACCCTTTCTAATTATTTATATTAGATCATTTCTTAATATTCGCGTTTTTTCCCTACGGTAAGTAAGGCCTCGCTTAGTTCTAAAACAAAACTTTTCCCCCATCACCCCATCACATTTAACGTTTGGACACATGTATAAAGTATTAAATATGAAAAAAAATATCAATTACACAGCTTGTGTGTAAATTACGAGACAAATCTTTTAAGTCTAATTGCGTCATGATTTGACAATGTGGTGCTACAATAAGCATTTGATAATGACGGATTAATTAGGTTTAATAAATTTGTTTCGCGGTTTCCTGACAGAATCTGTAATTTTGTTTTGTTATTAGACTACGTTTAATACTTCAAATGTATGTCCGTATATCCAATGTGACAATCAAACCTAAAAAATTTCCCCAACTAAACAAGGCCTTAAGAGAAATGCTTGCCATCAAATGGAAGAAAAAAAAATGGATGAGCCCGAGGGAACATTACCGACATTGCATGGTGCATGCAGTCAGGTTTAGCAAGCCTATTCAATAGATCGAAAATTCAAATTATTTTTTCTCTTGAATCTTTTACAATGTATGTATCGATTAAAACATCATGTCAATTACATTTTAGCACGCACACATTCTCCCATGCTGTATTAATTGTATTCTGATGAAATTCGTGTCCATTCGGTTATATGATGATCAATTTGAGAAATTTTAAATTCCATTATATTATGATCAATTTAGAAAGGAGGGAGTACTACGTATTTCTATCATCTCAAGAACATTATTCCAATATTAATGACAACTTTAATTTAAGCAAATTTTGTTGAGACTCATAAAACATTTATGTACAAAAGAGAGAATTATAGCTAGTGATCAAGTTTCCTCACTGAGAAAATCCCTTATATACCCCTGAAATTTTTTCTAATCCCTTCTATACCCCTGAATTTTGCTTACTTCCTTATATACCCCCAAAATTTGATTTTGATCCCTTGCATACCCCTCCCGTCAGTTGACCGTTAGTTGACCGTGTATTTTCTATAAAAATGACCATTTTACCCTTGGATGAACAAAGAAATTCATGAATTACATTATTAAAAATATAAAAGCTTCTCGCATGAGACTATTATAGTTATGAGTTTGTTGTGCGATGCATTATTTATCCCAAAAAAATATTTTTAGATAATGAAATAAAAAAAATACGTATTTATTTTTTAAAAAAAAGGTCATAAAAATGAGGAGCATTCATATAAAGATAGGTATACCAATGTTCACAACATTTTTTTTATGAATGCTCCTGATAAAAAAATCCATTGTCCTATTAAAATTTCAAATAAAAATTTTAATTTTTTACATTTATTTTATTTTCAAAATTTATGTCAAAATTTTCTGCACTAATTATTTAGTCTCATTAGTTTTATAAAATGCACACGATGTGCACTCAAACAAAATTTTCAATTATTTTTGAAGCTTATATTTAAACCTAAAGCATCAAGGGCAAAAAAGACATTTGCAACCAAACGTAACAGTAAAATGATGGAAAATGTAACGGTAGGGGCATGGAAGGAATCAAATTGAAATTTCAGAGGTATAGAAGGGATCGGGTAAATTTTAGGGGTATGAAAGGGATTGAGTGAGTTTTCAGGGGTACACAGGGAATTTACTCTTCTTCACTTGACCACCATTCAACCTATAATTACACAAGGAACCCAAATTTACATCCATTGAAGCAATTTCGTTCCATCTTCTACTTCTAGCCAGTGACATTAATTAATTGTGGTGTAACAAATAAATTAATGAATGGAAAGAAAGAAAGATTAACCATAAAATTTAAACAGAGAGCTGCAGACCAAGAACGTCGGCGGGCGGCGCCGGCGATGGCGGCGCCCGGCAGACCGGGCACGTCGGGCGGCGCCGGAGCCACGTGAAGATGCAGTCCCGGTGGAACAGGTGGCCGCACTCCGGCAGCGCCCGGAGCACGTCGCCGCCGCCGTAGCTCTCCAGGCAGACGGCGCAGCTCGTCTGCGCCGTCCTCGCCTCGCCGTACAGCACCAGCGGCAGCGCCTGCAGCGTCGCCTCGTCGATGCCGACGGCGACCACAATGCCATCGTCGTCGTCGTCGTCGCGCCGGCGTTGAGGCGGCGGCGCGGGCGGCGCCGCAGGGAAGACGCGTTTGCAGAGCTGCGTGATGCCGGCCATGATCAGGAAGACGGCGGCGACGGCGCAGAGGCAGACGATGACGGCGGCGGCGCCGGACCAGCTTGTTTTGTACGATGAGCCTCCTCCGTCGACGAAGACGGGCCAGTCGCCGGCGCCGGCGCCCATTAATTGGCTCCTCGGAGTCGGAATCGATTGACGTGACGTGACGTATGCACTTCTACGTAAGCAAGCTAGCTGAGGCTTGGTCATTGATCTGCTCGCTACTATACATATATATACACGGTGGGGTGTATTCTAATCCGTTGAGCGGATTTGCGGATGTCCCTCGTGTATTTTTTTTAAAAAATTCAAACAAATGTTACGAAAGATTTTGAAAAAAGTTGACAATGATGTAATGATATATATCTATCGGTCCATCAAACATTAAGTTCAAGTTTGATCTACACAACATTGAGAAAAAAAAAAGAAGATAAATTTAAACGTAAACAATATACACTATTCATATGCTGGATTTTTTTTTTATATCTCAACGTATGGGTTAAGTTTGGACCTAAGATTTTGTGAAGTTTTATACTTCCGCCGTTTTACAATGTAAGTCATTCTAACATTTCCCATATTCATAGTGATGTTAATGAATCTAGATAGATATATATGTCTAGATTCATTAACATAAATATGAATATGAAAAATGCTAGAATGGCTTACATTGTGAAACAGAGGGAGTAGATATATGTTGTATAAGTGTTTTTCAATTTTTTTCCAGAATTTTTTACCGTTTGAATGGTTTTTTTTAAGTAAATGAGTGAATATTTTCTCGAGGGATAAAAAATATATACACGACGATATATATAAATTCGTGTTGGTGCGAATCGTTTCAAAAATATATACACACAACGGAATATGATTGGGAAGGAGTGCAAGAAAGGAAGACACGGAAACGCATGTGGTATAGCGTGGTGTTTTTAGTTCGGGGTCAAATGATGAGTTGTCTTCATACGTAAATCTAGTTCAAAGCGTGTGTTAAGAGGTCAAGAGAGACTCAAGACACATACGAGCGTAATTACCCTCGTATAGTTCTTAAATGGCTAAATGCTCCTTCAGCTCTTAGACGTTTAAAATAGGGTTCGGGCATACTACCTTTTGTTTTTTTTAATATAGGATACCGTTAATTTTTTTATAAACATTTAATCATTCATCTTATTATTTTTTTTACAAACTAATAATATTTAAACCATACATAAATAATATTTGATGATAAATCAAATCACAGTAAAATCAGTTAGTAGCAGTTAGCAGAGGAGATTCAACGGAAGTCAGGTCATATTGGCGGGTCCAGATGGGCGTGGGTCGGCACACGAGTAATGAAATCAGTTTTCGGTACTTCGGTAGTAGTCCCCCTTCCAAAATATAAGGCACAACTACCATTAACCCAAAGACCAAGAAACAATTATTATTATCTTCTAGTTTAGATCACCCTAATAAATGTAATGCATGCATCCAATAGAATTAGAAATCTTGAGGATGGATGATTTAAAAAAGCAATAATTTAATGGAGAAGATGTCCTAATTAATTATATGCATGCATGCATGCCTTATATTATGGAACATCCAAAGAAAAATAGTTATGCCTTATATTATGGAACGGAGGGAGTATGTTACAGAGAAGGGATAAAAAGTCCATAACAAATCTCTGAGCTAGTGTAAACTTTTAATGACATATAGTGGACCCTCTCTTAATTCATCCAGCGACATTATTTGCGCGGTTTTGAACGACTCGCATAAGACGGTGCGAAGTTATATTGATAGAACAGAAGAAAAAATACAAGATTACAGGTTGTAACCAGGAAAAAGGAAAAAATATACCACCACCCATACACCGACAACGCCAAAACATTGAACCAGGAGAAGGCTAGCACGGGACAGGCCGCCACTAAGCGTGACCGACTGCCGCTAGGCCAACAAAGAAAACACAGCCGGGATCGCCCAAAACCCAACCCTTACAATCAACACAAAGTCCCGCTCTATCCAAGTCTTCAGGAGTTAGGGAAAGAGGGTGAGAGAGAAGAATGAAACTCCTCTTCCCCTTAGGCCTCTGACGTGGCTAACTTGTAGAGACTAGGACGCCGCCACAAGAGGATGAAATCTACAGTGAGCTTACACCAATTGGTTGGGTGGTTTCGGCTAGGGGATGCCTAAACGACGTCTCCAAGTAGAGAAGCGACGGAAAGCACTGCCGCCGCCGTCCGTCAAGGTCTAAAAGAGAGCCAAGACTGAGCTTTCGCCCGGCATCTACACAAGAGGGATGAGACTGCACGACAACGCCATCAGGAGGGGAATGACGCTTCAAGCGTCATCATTGCCGGCCCGGCTGAGGCCGGGCTGGATTTTCACACGCCGCTCACCACCTGCGAATCCATGCTGGCGCCCCGATGCTCTACCACTATCCAACCTCTGCTGACATATGGGACCACTGCACCGGTGCCCCCCGCCGGCCAGCCTTCGTGCGCCGTAGTCCGCACCGCACCCGCCGGCAGCTCCTCCTCCTCGCATTGTGCCCGCCTCCGTCACCGCCGGCCACGCCTCGTCGCGCCGTGCCAGCCTCCTCGCTGCCGGTTGCGCATCACTGCGCCAAGCCAGCCTCGTCCACCGCTGGCCGCGCCTCACCACACCAAGCCGGTCTCCCGTCGCCGGCCGCGTCTCCTCGTGCCAAACCAACCTCCACCGCCGCCGGCCGCGCCTCCTATTTGTGAGGTTTTGAATTTTGCAAAACCTTCTTCCTCTAGTAAGCTGCATTTACTCTCTCAATTCAAAAGTGTTAAATGTATTACTTTTGACACAAAGATCAAATAGAAATTAACTTATTCTGTATGTAACAAAGATTAAGTAGTGTATGCGCTGCATGCACTTAATAAGTATTAAGATTTAAAACTCATAGAACAAGATTTAAAATATCAGAAGTGGTCAATATATATGCTGCTACTTATAAAAAAACTGGGATTGTTAGTTCTGGAAGCATTTTTCGTCCCATCTTATTACCCTTCACAGAAATGCTAGTTTGAGTTTATTTTTGAGTGATGACTGCCAATAATGCCTCTTATCTTGAAGTAGTTGAACTGCAGAGCGGTTTGTAATGGCAAAACATACGCTATGTTAAAGTACGTACATATTTCCTTTTTTTTCACTGTGCAAGTTTCTCGATTAGGTAGTAAAGATTTTCACATCACTCAGTTGAGTAATCCCGCTTATTTTGCTTGTTTTTTTAGACCTTTTGGTTAAGATTTGAACAATATATATCTTTTGTTGGAATATGAAGTGGATCTGTGAAATACATGTAGCGCGTTCCAAGGAAAAGCTGAAGTTGAATCACTAGACAGGATTCTTTCAGGGCTGTTAAAACTGAATAAAAACAAGGCCAATTGATCATATGTTTAACCATCCATTCAGCTGTATTTAATTGATAATTAACCATCCATTCCGCAGTACTCCCTCCATTTACTTTTGATAGTCATATTTTCAAATCTGAAATTTTTATTTTTGATAGTCATATTTCAATCCAACAACTTATCATCTTAATGGCTTTCTTAGATTTAATGCGTGACTCTTCATTCTTCCAAACAAGATTGGCTACATGGGCATCGAGAAATGTAAATATTAATGAATCGCTTGTTTACGAGGAATGACCAGTACTCTCTCCATTTCTAATTGATCTTCATATATGATTTGTGCATCAATACCAAGACAATCCTGCGGAGCACTTAATCAGCATCGAAAACATGCATTAGCGTTTCGTATCCGTGAATGTAGCGCCATCAATTTTGCATACTGTATTGCTGGCCAATCAGTTGTGAGCGTATTAAATCCATGCATGCAGCGGCTCCTAATTAGTTTTGCATGCCGCATAGCCTGACCAATCAGATGCATGCAGTGTTCGTTAGGAAGTGTCATTAACGTCCTTCACAGGATTTTCATCGCCTCTCCACCGTAATGCGAATATCAAAATGGAATTATCATTTTTTTCAATACGATGATCAAAAGGGAACGGAGGGAGTATTCCAAATTGATCTACATATTTCATAGGTACACTAAGACCAAGAAAAGCTAATAACTCTCTCATACTATATTTACTCTAGCAACAAACTCAATGCATGCACCATCCCCACTATTTCCTAGCTAATAGCAAATCAAGATATTGCATGTGGATTATAAATGCTTGTGATGCATGCATCAATGTCAATTTACTCCAATGCACAAATAACGAATAGACCTAATGAATAAACACAAATATGTACTAAAAAACGAGTAGATCATTTAGAAATAACCTAAAAAAAACTATATATAGATCAATTTAGAATGGAGGGAGTATTTAAATGGATAATAAGTAGAATCACTTATCCTTGGTCTGTGTGTCAAGATGAAATATGACTATCAAAAGTAGATGGAGGGAGTATCTTTTATAGTACTGGTTTCCGTGTCTAACGTTTGACTGTTCGTCTTATTTGAAAAAGTTATGAAAAAATTTAAAAAGATAAGTCATGCATAAAGTGTTATTCATGTTTTATCATCTAACAATAATGAAAATATTAATCATAAAAAAATTTCATATAAGACAGGTGATCAAACGTTGAACACCAAAACCTAGGAATTTAGTCTTTTTGGGACGGAGAGAGTATCAGATAACCAGAACATTAGTCAAACGGGCCAACAGTCATTCAGTCAAACGACAATGGGAATAAAATTCTGGAAAAACATTCTTGACTTTGCTCTCTAAATTTCATTTTTTTTTGACGAGGAATTTATGCATGGTCGTTGCTCATCTCAGTAAAAATACATTCTTGACTTTGCTCCCTAAACCTCAATTTTTTTGTTAATCTAATACTCTTTCTATCTAGCGAGGAATTTATCATGATCACCGGCAGTGGAAAGAAATTCTTTCTTTGCTCTAAATTTCAAATTTATGGCAAGTGCAAAAAGAGTTCTGACTTTGCTCTAGATTTTGCTAAGAGTAAATTGCACTTTGCACCCGATAAAGCACGCTTAGTTTCACTTTACAATAGGTTTAGCGTATACATGTTGCCTTCAAATAAGTTTCGCTTAGAACCAGGATATACATCATCAAATCTATAGAAATTTCATAAAATCAAATTTTATAAGATATGGATGAAACTTTGTGAAAACATGGTCTTTATTTTTTTAAAAAAATCGTAAGGTTCACTCATGATTTATAAGATTTTGCTTTAGT